CCACAGTGATGAAGAGGAGTGGCGTCCTTGCATGATATCGTGGGTTCAAACCCCGTCAGTTGCTAATATCGCTCAACTCAAAAAAAAAAAAAAAAAAGATACCTAGTCGGTTGTCGTTTGTATCAATTTTCTAAAGCGTGTGAGTCACTTGTGTCATCTCCAAACTTGACCCACCTTCAATGGGACAATATTGAGAGTATCAATCCATTTTTTTCTATGTAGGATCGATATTCTTAATACACAGTAATATTGGGGAAGGACCGTGACTGATGAAATGAGTAGAGCAGATATGTTGTGGAAACTTTGTTGTGTATGATATATGTACCTAACAATTTGTTACTGAGCTCTCAATATATGCACGATGAATGATCATCACCTTATACAATTTTGTGCTGGCATATTGATATAGGATATAACCCATATTGGACCCTACTTACCAACTTACCATTAAAATTGATTCACTTGGGTAGAATTTTAACCTACAAAAAGTTGATGGCTATTACTGTTTTAAGTTTAACGTTTTCAAAAAAATATTGTGCTCACTTTGTAACGAGAGAATGACACCAAACGAATTTCACAATTAAGATCAATCAAAACATAAAAATGGATGGAGAAGAAGTTTTTCATGCCAATTGTGCTCTTTAATGTGGTACATTTCGATGAGGGTAAAAGTTTAGCAAAACTTAGACCAAATGTAGTAAAACTTGGTAGAACAACATGAAAACGACTAGAAACAACACATTTGAGAGAATTTCGGATGCCAATTTAGTGCCTTTGTAGTGCATTTGTAGTGGTATTTGTAGTGCATTTGTAATGACATTTGTAGTGGTATTTGTAGTGCATTTGTAGTATTTTAATATTAGTTTTTCTAGTTTAAGTAGTTCATTGTTAGTCTTCGTGTAATACATATTTAATAAGAATGAGTTAAAGTTCCTTAGTAATTTAAAATTCCTCTTCCAAACATAGCATAAGTGTTCTCATAGAAAACTTATAGGTCACATGATATATTTTTTTTCTTTCTAATTTACTAATATTTGTCGTCGCCAAACAGTTTACAATTTTCTAATTTGAGATCCATGACAATTTAGTTCATGTCATTCAAAAATTGCAAAACGAACATTTAGGTTGTCAATTAGTACAAATAATCTAACCATCAAGTTATTAATCTTTGTTTTTGTAAGATGTAACACAATTAAACTTTTTTTTCCTGACATATGCATGTGAGTTATTGTATGCTACATGAACAACAAATAAGTGTTTTTTTTTTTTTTTTTTTTATTTTTATAAATAAGAAAACCCTTAAAACAATATGTAGTACTGTGCATGCAAAAATAAATAAATCTATCAAATTCCCACTAAAAACAATGGTTACGGAGGATCATGGTGTAACAATTTTATAGTACTGACTGGTAATTAAGAAGAAGCCATTGAAGTTTTATGGAGAAAAGGGGATAGAGCCATAAAAATAGAGAAGGAATCCCTCTGAGACTGCCGTGCAATGTGCCTCGTACAGAGTCTGGTAGTATGGAGTGAAATCGATATATATATTCTTGGACTCCTAATATGGCAGATGATGACATGGATTGGCTGCATGCACTGTGCAGGGTTTTGGCACTCTCCCAAAGATGTGAAATGGTAAAAGTAATGGGCGGGGGCTGGGACTGGGACGTCGATGATTGGAACCCAGTGGACGTTGAGCTTTAAGTCTTGAAGCTTTGGAACTTTCTATAATTTCTTTGCTCGGTGGGGGACCTGACGGTTCAGCGATGTGTGGATGGTCCTCCACTCCCACTTGGACTTTTGAGTATTTGATGCTTTGAAGGTTGAGAACCGTGAACTGAAAGTATTGAACGGATAAAAAGTTCAATGGAGAAGAATATTACCAAAAAGATTTTTTTTTTTTTTTAAATATCCACGTACGAAGGATATTTATTGATATGATATTACCAAAAAGATTTTTTCGTCATTCTTTTTATTTATTTCTAGAAGTCATGTGTTTTTGTTAGGGTTGGTAGTTTTATGCTAGTTTTGTACTGCCAAGTCTAGAAAGGTTGCCTCCTCCTAATTAGATATCTCTTCCACCAACCTATATAATGAATTATCCTTGATTAATGGTTTGCCAAATGGTTGATTAAATATTGAGAAGTTGATGTACAAATTGACCAAGCTTCGAAGGCTCATGTTGGAACAGATAAACATATGATTGGATGCAATTGATTATATGTTATATGTTACCCCAAACTAGAGAGCATGTGAGAAATCAAGAAGACTAGTTTTTGTTACATGAGTAGTGGTAAATAATTGCATAATAATCATTAGAAATAAGTTAATCTATATGATGTTTCGGTATGCATTGTAAGTTCAAAAGAAAAGAAGCTTATCTATCTTGTGAGATCTAGGCCCTACATAATATAACGGTTCCGTCGATGCCTACAAAACATTAGTTTTAGGAATGCTCTTATGCTAGTATTATCTTCAATACAATGTAAAAGCGTTGGGAATATATGTAAGTTGAGGTCGACGAGGAATCTAGTTTCGTAAAGGAAACTACTACATTCAAACTTTGAAGTTGGAAGAAGACTAGAAAAAGTGTAAGATGACAATAGCATAAAGCGTCCAAAACCGTCCACAATCTAGGAAGCTCTCTACATGATTGGATTCCCGACTTTTTTTACACAAGAGACCGACCTAATTGTCCAGTATTCAATATGCTTGGCATCTCCTTGTATCATGTGAATGCACGTAAAAGTATGTTGTGTTGAATCACTTAGTATTACCGTTTAAGAATATATTTTTTTCGATATTAATTTAAGAGGAAAATTAGACTCTCATAGACAGCGAGTAAGATGCTAGAACTTTTAGTTCACTTGTTGTATGGCTTGGCCAAAAATTCTCTACCTTAAATGAAAAGATATCCTGACGTTTAGGACAGAACAAAAGGAAGGGAAATTATGGAATAATTGAAGCCGATGGGCTGGCGCTGCCAGTAGTTTTGAGGCCCAACTAAAGCCTAGGACAGAAAAAATGGGCTTTCCTCTTGGGGTTGGTACGGATTTATGGTGTACAAGTTTAATTTTGCCCCTCGACCCAGTTATCGTTTGTTTACATGAGCGCTTGTGTGGGCAGGCTCGGCCCCGACAGATATATGGGCATAGATGAGAGAGCCTAGAATTTTGGTGTAAGATCCATGAGTAAAAATAGTTATATATAGCAATATATGGGTACTTAATGTATCTGGTTCGGTTTTTGAATGGCAAAATTGAGAACCGAATCGGTTCAAGTTAAATTGAACTATTTCGACTTGATTCATTATGATGGTCACTAGAGATGGGAAATCAACCCGTTAGATAGTTTATGGATAACTATTAAGACCCGTTGCGTTTGATTTCAACATAATATGTTGGTGAAATTGGTAGTGGTGATGATGGTGCAATGGTGAAATTAACTAAATGGTCTAAATGGTTAACCATTAACAATCCAATGAGTTGTTTTGCCACGCCACCCCTACCTTAGAGCAGTTCCAGCAGGAGCTTGTGTTCAAGGGACAGGCTGCGGAACAGGGCCAGAGAGCCTGAGTGGGGAGGTCCAGCGTGTGCTAGCGATGGAGCCCGAGCGGCCCCTAGGGATAGGCCCGACAGGAGTTGCCAGCCTGAGAGCCCAAGGTGGAGGTGATGCACGTTGACGTCAGGGTGAAGATGCATGGATTTTCTCATGGATTTTCCGGTCCGGGAGGAGCTTGGAGTCTCGGTTTTGGTCATCGGACATCATCTGGTAGAGGGTTTGGGACTGGGTCGGTCAAGTCAAAGACTGATTTGACTCGGCGAGTTACGGTGGCGGCGGCGGTGGCGGTTGGGGAGAAGGAGGGGAGGAGAGGGGCTTGGGGGGCGAGGAGGTGCGGGAATAGAGCTTGGAGAGGGATCTTGACGGCGAGAAAAAAAGAGGTGGGGGAGTTGGGTTTGCGTTGGATTTTAGAGAGGCTGCGTCGTTGGGTCAGAGTTTTAAGGACGACCGACGAGGAATGTGCTTCTTCTGCAAATAGGGGAGGGGATTACAGAGAGAGAAAGAGAGAGCTCTGAGAGAAACTCGGGTTAAAAGATATGGGTTTTTTTACAGGAAACAGAGGAATGAGAGCTCTGAGAGCTCGGGGGAATTAAATGAATGGGAAAGAAAACCCAGAAGTGGGATTTTTGTGGGGATGCAAGGATTGAAAGAAAGTAAAATATTTTCTGGGAAAATGAAAAATGTAAAATATTTTGTATTATTTTATAAATAAATAATATAATAATATTTTATTACATATTGCCAAGGTTATTGAAGTGCAACGGTGGAGATGTAAAAGGCGATTACTGTTCATTAAGGGCAGTTACTGTTCACTAGGTGGATAGCATATTGTATTGCCTGGGGGGCCTTTCTCACGATGGAACTGCTCTTAGGGTTTTAGACTATTATGTTTTAAAAGCCATCATTGGTGCCTAGGAGATTGTATTGGACAACTTACTATATCCAATGTACGTTAAACGAAGAACTTGAGACAAACTTTCAAATTTTGTCCAAGCTGAAGGTAAAAGAGAAGATGAATTAGTTCATGAGAGAAACTTTATCTCTTCAAATCTTATTAAAATGGATGAAACCTAGTGGCCACACATGTGCCTCCTCCTTTTAGCTTCAACTTGAACAAAATTTCAAAGTTGACATTCATTTATTTGCTCATCATATATGAAATCTAATGAATTATCCAATTCAATCATTCTAAAACAAACGTGGCCATGGTGTATATTAGCAGCTTTGAGTTAGGAAATATAGTATATCAATAACTACTTATGTGAATAGTAACTCAACCCTTCCTAGTTCGGAAGTATACAAAATTGTGTAGCTAATCAAGTTCCCCACCACTTTGTCTCGTTACGTTATATAGAGGAGAGCAACTTATACATGTCACTGTTTTATTGAAACCAAAAGTTATGATATCGGTGAACTCATTTTATATAAATCACTCTCTGGAAGAAAAATCATCATTCTGTTAGATATGGTGCTTGGTATATTCTCTGTTTTGGCTAGTAGAATATATGAATGAAAGGTGTGAAGTCTCTCTAGAACTACCACCACCACGCGTATCAACCGAACCAAAGGAAGCAGCCAAATCCACTCCCACCTCCCTTTCTTTTCTTTCCAAGAAAATTTAAAAAAGAAAATAATTATTATATCCAATTCAAAAAAATGCACACTCCTCAGTTGCATACTGTTCCTCTCCCTCACCAAATTCCATGGATGCCAAGAATCCACCTGAATAATTCCCTCTGGATTCTCCACCCTTTCTCTTCCTCCTCATCCTCCTCCTTCTCGCCCTCTCAGCCGCCGTCACCTCTCTTCACCTAAGACATGACTCCTTCCTACTGCTTATCTTCTGCAAGAACCACTTCCACACCAAAAGCATTCCTCCACAATTCCCACCTCTACCTCCCAAAGTACGGCTCCATTTTCCTCCCAACAGAACCCCACTTTCCCAAGAAAGTCACAAACTTTCTCAGCTCCCAAACACCATTACCCAAGTCTTTTCTCCCCACTTTGAGGCTCAACGCCTCCAAACTCACACACCCCTTTGCCAGTTTATCCTCTTTCGCCGATGCCGAAGGTGAAAACGAAGAACAAAACCAAGATGTCAAAGCCAAACAACATCACGAAATAGCAGAAACAAGGGAACAAACCAAGTCGCCGGGAATGGCCCAGGCCTTCCACATATCTTCCAGCACCGCCTCTGCCATTTCCATCTGCATAGTGTTTGCGGCTTTGAGCCTTCCGTTTTTCACGAAGTCTCTGGGGCAAGGCCTGGCCGTTAAAACCAAGATGTTGTCTTATGTAAAGACACACATTATTCTTCTCAGTCAACCTAACAGTCAACAGTGCTAAAGTCCATTGCTTAGTCCTTAAGTTTTCTACTGTAACTAATTCATAGATTAAGCTTAATTAGTTACATTAGTAGTTAACTAATGTTATTAGTTGCTGTGTATAAATACATCCAATGTAACCCAGTTTATTTTTAATGAGAATATATTTCTAACATGGTATCATCCCTTTTTCGCTTCACCGCTTTTCCTCCGATCCTCTTTTTCTTCGTCGCTCCCTGCGTTCTCTGATTTCTTCGATCTTTGATCCCTTCTCTTCACTTTCTTGTGGATCTTGATCGATATCTCCTTCTTTTCTCCTCTCTGATTTGTTTTTCGATGCCTTCGTCGAGTTCATCTCCCATGAATCCTGATGTTCTTGCCCCAAATTCGTCCCCGATGAACCCTAATTTTCCTCCGGTTCAGCCTTCTCCCTCAATTTCTTCAATTTCGATCCAGAATATCAGCTGTATGGTTCCTACCAAGCTTAAACGGGACAACTATCTTGTTTGGAAGGCGTTGTTTGCTCCAATTTTTCGTCGCTATAAGCTTACCGGGATTGTTGATGGATCTGAACTTTGTCCCTCTCCTTTCTTACTTGATGATTCTGGCAAGCTCACTGCTACTCCAAATCCAGATTTCGATCTATGGTATGAAAAGGATCAAAATATCCTTATCTGGCTCAATTCTACTCTTTCAGAGGATCTCATTCCGTTCACCGTTGGTGTTACTTCCTCTCGCGAGCTGTGGTTAAATCTTGAACAAAGATTCGGCGGCGTTTCTGCTGCTCATATTCACCAGCTTCGCTCTCGCCTGCATACTGTTCAGCAAGGGGATCTTGCGATTTCAGAATTCATTCAGCTCATCAAATCAATTTCTGATGCACTCATGGCTGCCGGTGCTCCGATCTCTGAAAGTGATTTAATTGCCGTCACTCTTAATGGCCTTTCTGATGACTATGAGTCATTTGTTGACTCAATTCTGCTTCGCATCTCTTCTACCTCCTTGGATGAACTCCATGGTCTACTGATTAACAAAGAATTGTTCATGCAGCGCAAGAAGAAATCTGTTGTTTCTGAACCCTTTCAGGCCTATGCGGCTCAATCTCCCCAATCTCAGCCGCCTCTTCTTCCCACACCACAGGGCTATTCTGCTCCAAGGCAATTTCATCGTGGCAAAGGATCTTATCGCGACAATACTTCTCGTGGCACCAACTATAGGGGCAATAACTATCGTAGCAACAACTTTCGAGGCAACAACTATCGCAGTAATTCTGGCAGCAATTCTGGCAATTCTGGTAGTTATCCTCGAACTTCTAGTTACTCCCATGGTCAGCGTGCTTCCTGCCAAATCTGTCATTCCCCTGATCATGATGCTCTGGATTGCTTCGAACGCATGAATCACGCCTTTGCTGGTAAAATTCCTCCTGCAAAATTGGCTGCTATGTGTGCTCAGACTCATAACCCCTCTTCTGCTCCCACTTGGCTCATGGACTCCGGTGCCACATCTCATATCACCAATGATATCTCTACTCTTCATTCTCCAGCGTCGTATAATGGTCAGGACAAAGTTTATATTGGTGATGGTCAAGGTATGCCCATCCACCATACTGGTAGTTCTTTTCTCACTACTCCTGCTGCAACTTTTCGTCTGAATAATGTTTTACATGTTCCTGCCATGAAACATAATCTCCTTTCTGCGTATCAATTCTTACGAGACAATCACTGCAACTTAACTCTTGATTCTGATGGTTCTACAATCAAGGATCGTATGTCGGGGAGGATGCTTTTCCGAGGGCCCGTTAAAGATGGGTTCTATCCCTTTCAAGGTCTTCCTCCAGCATCTACTTCTTCATTTGCTCTTGTCAGTAGCAAGGCTTCTTTACCAGTTTGGCACAATCGACTCGGCCACCCCTCCTCTGCTATTTTTCGCAAGGCTTTACATACTGGTTCTATAGTTTACAGTGGTAAAAAGTTCACTTCTTTCTTCTGTTCTGATTGTGCAATTGGGAAGAATCACAAATTGCCTTTCACTGCAAGTCTCAGTTCTGTCTCTGTACCTCTGGAACTTGTTCATTGTGATGTTTGGGGACCTGCCCCTACTTTGTCTGTTACTGGTTATAAGTACTATGTGTTGTTTGTTGATGAATTCACCAAGTACAGTTGGTTGTTTCCTTTAAAGCTCAAGTCTGAGGTGTTCTCAGTATTTGTTCATTTCAAGACTTATGTAGAAAACTTGGTTGGTAATAAAATCAAAGTTCTTCGATCAGATTCTGGGGGTGAGTTCACCAGTTCTTGTTTTACTTCATTTCTTCTGCAACATGGCATTTTGCATCAATATTCCTGCCCTCATACACCGGAACAGAACGGTTGTGTTGAACGAAAACATAGGCACCTGGTTGAGACTGCTCGAACTCTTCTCACTGCATCCAAGGTCCCTCATAAGTTTTGGGTTGAGGCATTTTCTACTGCCTTGTATCTGATCAACAGGCTACCCCTCTCTAACCTTGATCAATCTCCCTGGGAATTACTTTTTCATAAGTCTCCGGATTATTCCAAGCTCAAGGTTTTTGGCAGTAGTTGCTATCCATGGCTTAAACCTTATTCCACTTCTAAGCTTGATGGGAAGAGTATTCACTGTGTTTTTCTTGGCTACAGTTTGCACCACAAAGGCTATCGTTGCCTAGATCCTCTTACCTCTCGAGTTTACATCTCTCGCCATGTCCTTTTTAATGAGTCTCATTTTCCTTTCCATACATCCCTTCCGTCCTCTCCAGTGCCACCCAATCCCTCTTCCCCATCTCCCACCTTCACTCTTCCTTTTCCTTTTTCCCATCCTCCCTCACCTTCTGTACTACCTTCCCCTTCCCCCTTCCTCCTCTATTCCCCCTGTCCCTCATTCTCCCTCTGTCTCCACTTCTCCTATCCATCCTTTATCCTCTTCTCCCACACTACAGGTTTCTTCCCCTGTGCCCCCTTCTCCACTCCAACCTCCACCTGCCCTCTCTGTCAACTCTCATTCCATGGTTACTCGATCCAAAGCCGGGATTTTTAAACCCAAAGCCTTCGCAGCTACTAAACATCCTATTAATTCCTTAGAGTTTGTTCCTACCACTTTCCTTCAAGCCTCCAAACATGCCCACTGGCTGCAAGCCATGACTGAGGAGTTTCAAGCCTTGCAGTCCACTGGAACTTGGTCCCTTGTCCCTTCTACACCCAACCAAAATATTGTAGGCTGCAAATGGGTGTTTCGCATCAAACGAAAACCTGATGGTAGTGTAGACAGATACAAAGCCCGTTTAGTCGCCAAGGGGTTCCATCAACAGGAAGGCATTGACTTCCAGGAAACATTTAGCCCGGTTGCCAAACCTGTCACCATTCGGATTCTCTTGACATTGGCAGTACAATTTGATTGGTTTTTAAACCAGTTGGATATAAGCAATGCTTTCTTACATGGGACGCTCAAGGAGGAGGTGTTTATTGGATTCATTGATCCTTCCCTGCCATCTCATGTATGCAAGCTTTCTAAGTCCTTGTATGGTCTTAAGCAAGCCCCACGGGCTTGGTATGATAAATTGTTTCAATCTTTGCTGTCTCTGGGGTTCCAGAACTCTCAATCTGATTGCTCACTGTTTGTGAATTTCAAGCCCTCTCTTGTCATTGTCCTCGTATATGTTGATGATATACTAGTTACTGGACCTAGTGCTCATGACTGCAATGCTTTTATTCACAAACTCAGTCAGCTCTTTCCTGTCAAAGACTTAGGTCCGTTGCACTACTTCTTGGGGTTAGAAGTTCATCGCACCTCTGCTGGCATCTTTCTCAGTCAACAAAAGTATGCCATGGATCTTCTTCTCAAAACTAACATGGATGGCAGCAAACCCTGTTCCACTCCCCTTGGTACTCAGAAGTTAGACCACAGTGGTACACTTCTCTCTAATCCCCATGAATATAGATCTATTGTTGGGGCATTACAGTATTTGACCTGGACCCGTCCTGATCTCTCTTTTGCTGTCAATCAACTCTGTCAATTTCTCTATTGTCCGAGAGATACACACTTTCAATCTGTCAAACGTGTCTTACGTTTTCTTAAGGGCACTGTGAATGATGGCATCTGGTTCAAAAAAGGCTCTCTCACTCTTACTGCCTTCTCAGATGCTGATTGGGCTGGCTGTGTATTTGATCGCCGCTCTACCAGTGGTTACTGTGTGTATCTTGGTTGCAATTTAATCAGTTGGTGTGCCAAGAAGCAGCCCACAGTTGCTCGCTCCTCCACTGAAGCTGAATACCGTTCTTTGGCTCACACATCTGCTGAGATCACCTGGATTTGCAAAATTTTCAAGGATATTGGCTTTCCTCTGTCCCGGGTTCCTCTTCTCTGGTGTGATAATGTTTCTGCGATTTCTCTTGCTTCCAATCCAGTTTTTCATGCTCGAACGAAGCATGTCGAAATCGACTACCATTATATTCGGGAACTGGTTTTGGCTTCTCTACTGAAAGTTCAGTTTGTTCCTAGTCTCCATCAAATTGCAGATATTCACACCAAGTCCCTGTCCAAGGGTCGATTTCAGTTTCTTCGTTCCAAGCTTTCACTTGGTTCCCCTCCGTTCAGCTTGAGGGGGTGTAAAGACACACATTATTCTTCTCAGTCAACCTAACAGTCAACAGTGCTAAAGTCCATTGCTTAGTCCTTAAGTTTTCTACTGTAACTAATTCATAGATTAAGCTTAATTAGTTACATTAGTAGTTAACTAATGTTATTAGTTGCTGTGTATAAATACATCCAATGTAACCCAGTTTATTTTTAATGAGAATATATTTCTAACATTATGTTACTCTGCTTTTCGGGTTTTACATGGCGTGGAACATCGGAGCCAACGACGTGGCCAATGCCATGGGGACTTTGGTGGGCTCGGGAGCGCTGTCGCTGCGGCAGGCGGTGCTGACGGCGGCGGTTTTGGAATTCTCAGGGGCGTTTCTGATGGGGACTCACGTGACGAGCACGATGCAAAAGGGGATCCTTGTTGCTAATGTGTTTCAGGGGAAGGATCCTCTGCTTTTTGCTGGGTTGCTTGCTTCTCTTGCTGCTGCTGGTACTTGGTTGCAGGTGTACTTCTCTTCTTCCTATGTTTTCATTTTATAGACTAATTCTATATATCCTAATTGATTGCGTGATATTTTATTGGAATTTCAATTCAGCATCCAAAAGTGCATGGTAGTGCAAATTAAGGCTAATGCCTCTAAATGACAGTTCGTGTTGCCTAAAGTTTCAATTTAGTTTGAACCTCGCTATACTTTTAATTCGTGTCAATTTACCCCCGACGTTAGTTTTGAATTACTGCAAATGTATAAGTTTACGATTCTTCTGAATTTGTTTGTCACAACTCGATTATCAAAATTTCAAATAATTATTAATTCACTTAGTAAAAACATTTTGTGGACGTATATGCCCCAAAAATTTACTCACATGCATTGCATCATTGCATGTGAAGAAACTCGATATTTGAAATAAAATAAATAGAACCACATAGTCGACTGATCTGTATGTGCTATTGTAACAAAATTGATAGTTAAGGGGTCATTGACGCAAAAATTTAGAGGGCTCAAAACTAAATTGAAAGTTCAGAGAGCAAAGTGAAACGAGGTCTACAACTTAAGGGAGTTGCTAGCATGACACATCCGATCCTCATATTCCCCAAACACCAAGATAGGCACGTGATGGCCGACATCCGAAGGTGACGAAGCCATATTAGGATGCATGAGAAATAATAAATATAAACAATACTTATAAATTTAAATACAATGCTTATGCAATTGAGGAACGTGTTCAGAACATACAACTAATCTGTGACACTAAAACAGGAATAATATAAAATTGAATGAACAAAAGGGTGGGTGCTACACCGAGAGGACTTGAAGACGCCAATTCGGAAGTGCCTTAATGCCAGGATTGTATGCCTCGATTCTAAGTCCTGAGGGGGCACAAAACAAAACATGAGTGGACCAAATTGATATATAGTACTACTAAAACAGTTATTCAACAACGTACTAACCCCCAAAGCTTATGAAAACTCAATAGTATAATATGTAATAGGTTTTCCGAAAACCCTAGCATGCCATAAAACCTTTGTAAAACATATATTATATATAGTGTGCTAAGTAGTGTGTGTGTGTATATAGAACACTTCTTTATTCATCCAAAGGTTCTACATCACGCGCCCTTAGACAGATCGTTTGCCCGTAGGCACTACATATCCTGGCCAAAGCCAATATAAGTATCTTCCGCCCGTAAGCACTACATCTCCCGGTCGAAGCCAATATAAATATCTCCCGGCTGAAGCCACCAACCTACGCCCTGCCGAAGCCAATATAAATATCAATTGCTCGTAGGCTCCTACAGCACCCCCGAAGGCATATAAGTATCAATCGCCCGTAGGCTCCTACAGCACTCACCCGAAGGCATATATAAGTATCACTTGCCCGTAGGCAGAACATACGTCCGTAGGCAGGATCGTTCGAATAACCATTAAGTAAGTACATAAGTGTGTGTGTGTGTGTGTGTGTGTGTGTGTGTGTGTATATATATCTATCTATCTATCTATCTATCTATCTTAATCGGAGTTCAGTAGCTAAAACGTCATGTCGTAAAACTTATTCATTGTATATAGTCATCAATCATATATACTACGAAGAACGTGAAAATTGATAAAGTATGGTACTCCAGAATATTCTCAGAAAGCATGATATCTCATAAATTGTAAATCTATTTTACTCATAAAACATAACCATTAAATCATGCTTTTCATGTATGCATTTCTAGTAGCAAAATCATGCATTTTAGAAGGAGTCCACTCACCTTACACCGTAAGCGAAAAGCCGTGCAAACAAGGGTGGACAGAAATGCCATAAACAATTGCACCTAAGCACATAAAGGGTCCAATTAATAAAACGCTATCATAACAGTTGAATTTGAGAAAACGAACATCGGAATTGGACTCAAGACGTCGAAATTAGCCTAGAAGGGGTCCCGAACAAAACCCGAAAAAGTCAATCGGTCAACGTTGACCAAAGTCTACAAGTCAAACCGGGGTCATCTTTCGGGTCGGGACAACGCAAGTTCAGGTCGGGTCAACAATTAGTGGGTTGGCCCAGTTCAGTTGGATCAAATGGGTTGGGTTGGGTTAGGTTGGATCCAGTTAGGGTTTAAGGTTTAGGACTTGGGTTAGGGTTAGGGTTAGGTTTAGTTGGGTTGGGCCGAGTTGGATTAGTGGGTTAGGGCCTAGGCTAATGGGCTGTCACGCCCAAAGGTTTGGATTTCTGGGTTCTAATTTAAATGGGTTGGGCTTGGATTTGGGCTGGTTACTCGGCCCAACGGTTTAGGCTGGTTCAATAGGTTGGCCTAGCAACTGGGTTGGGTGCCTAATTGGGTTGTGGGTCGTAACCCCCCAATTGTTTCGCGGCCTGCCGGAACCACGAACAAGAAAGCCGGAGAAGTCGCCGGGAATTCTCGAGCTCCGATGGAGCTCGAAACAAAACCATTTTTAGTGTATAAACTATCAAAATGAAGCTAAGGAGAAGGAGAATGAAGATTTACCAACATAAGGGCAAGCCGTGGTCGGAAAGCGGCCGGAAAACCTCTGCAACTCGCGGCCTAGTCATCGGGAAATTGGGAAATGCTTCCCCGGAGCTATCTCTGCGTTCAAACGTTCCAAGTTTCTCAAAAACAGCCTAATTTAACATATGACAACAACTAAAGAGGTCTAGGGTGCTTACCTTGGTCGGGAAAACAGAGAACTCGCCGGGAGTTCATCGGGGAAAACCCAAAATAGTGAACTCCGCCACTGCCGAAGCTCCACAATCTGGGACAGGGGTCGAGACGAAGGTTCATATTTTGGTGGTGTTTCTGTCGCCATTGTTGCAGGTGTGGGTGAGTCATAGAGAGGAGAAGGAGAACTTGCAGAAGGGGAGAGGGTTCCAAGAGTGAGAGGCACGAGAGAGGTGAGGGAGAGAGAGAAACTGGGCCGGGGGGACACAAACCAAAGGTGGGCCCCTCCTGGGCACACCTAGTAAGATCCAAAAACATTATTTTAAACAAATATCCCATAATCAAAATGAAATTACAACATTGTCCTTTCGTTCCGTAAAATCCGAAACGAGTTATTACATAGCATGTTGGTGTCTTCATTGTTTTCAAAATTCCTCCTTATGGTTTCCCAACTTATACTTATGGGATAAAATTACTAAAATTCCCATGAAACAAAAGGGGAGATGGTAACAAGAAGCTTTTGCGGACTCGGTACAAATCTTATTGCCTCTTGGGAGACATGAAATTCAAATAATTAGTATTCATAAGTTTATAAGTTTATACGAAATGATTTATTATTGGTTTCATAAGTTTTTATATGCTGCATTGCCATGTTCTTTCTTCCATCCATGAGTAATTGTTTTCTGCTAGTCAGGTTGCATCATATTATGGCTGGCCGGTCTCGACAACGCACTGTATAGTTGGATCCATGGTCGGATTCGTGCTTGTCTATGGCGGTCCAGATGCTGTCTTCTGGAGTTCGTTGGCAAGGGTGACTTCATCGTGGGTGATCTCTCCGTTCATGGGAGCCCTGGTGTCCTTTCTTGTGTACAAATGCATTCGTAGGGTATGTTCTACTTCCTTGGAGATGCAACTGTCAAATGATCCTCAGCCTTTTATCATATATGGGTATGCCGTTGGCTTATGAATTCTGATACCATATCAGAAATTGAGCTCACCAATATTTGTTGCACTTGTAACCTTTAATCCATCTTATTGTAGCCCGACTCTGTGCAGGACGTCTTGTTTTATGAAGGACACAATGCAATGAGAAATCGTCACTTCTACTCAGTTTTCTTCAACTTTGATCTCGTCTATTGACGTGATTGATTGTTTTCGGGCTTAGAATCGTCACTTAGAGCTTATAACCTGGTTTTATGTTCGAATTTGGATACACTTCTTAGTTCTTACTGCTTACCACCCTTCTTCTTCTCTATTCCGTTCAGTACGTGTACAGCGCTCCAAATCCGGGACAAGCCGCAGCTGCAGCAGCACCAATTGCTGTACTAGTCGGCGTAACTGGAATCTCATTCGCAGTCTTTCCTCTCGGGAAAAGCTTGCCTTTGGCTCTGGCCAAGGCTCTAGCCTGTGGAGTTGCAGGTGCAGTCCTCGTGTACAGAATTATCCACAGGCAGCTAGGTCATCTCCTCGTCAAGGCCATGTCATCGGAAGCAGAGCAAATGGAGGGTACCATCCAGCAAAAAAATATCGGATTTCTCACTGATATTGCAGGTCCAACCGGCACACAGTTGGAAATAGTATATGGGGTTTTCGGATACATGCAAGTCCTCTCAGCATGCTTCATGTCATTTGCTCACGGCGGGAATGATGTCTCCAACGCAATAGGTCCTTTGGCTGGTGCATTATCCATTCTTCATGGCCGTGCTAGTGGAGCGGACATTGTTATTCCAACTGATGTTCTAGCATGGGGAGGGTTCGGAATTGTAGCAGGTATCACAATGTGGGGGTATAGGGTGATAGCAACCATTGGGAAGAAGATTACTGAACTGACACCTACTAGAGGATTTGCGGCTGAGTTTGCAGGAGCCTCGGTGGTTCTGTTTGCGTCAAAGCTGGGACAGCCCATCTCCGCCACACATACTCTGGTGGGTGCAGTCATGGGGGTGGGATTTGCAAGGGGGCTCAATAGTGTTAGAGCAGAAACTGTGAGGGAAATTGTGACTTCTTGGGTTGTGACAATTCCTGCTGGTGCTTTCTTTTCGGTTTTATACACATGGATCTTTACCAAGCTTTTATCTTATATTTTGTGAGACTACATTTGAAGATTGAAGTGATGAAACCTGATGTAAGTTATTAATTAAGAAAGGCATCACTTTTTTTCTGAATTTGATTTACTAATGATCCTGCTTGTTCTCAAAGCCTTTTTCTTCTCAAATTTCCTTCGTCGGGCATTTCTTTGGAGAACTGTTAAATTCATTTATGTTTTTTGTGGCAGAATCCACCTATACAAAAGCTTTATGACAAAAGTGATCTTCTACTTCCAGGGAAAAATCAGTATTTCGGCAAATCTGACAGTGGAAAGTTGTTCAAAGAAACTGCTATAATTATCGTACACAAGTGATCTGATCTAGAAGATAGAATATATTGCAGGAAAAACGGTACACTACTTATTACGGTGTATAAATTTTTCAACACATCTCTCTCAGAATTTTCATGGAACTGACAACATACTTGCAGTAGCAATACAACCTCGTACCAGAATCCGAACACCAGGTTAACAGCATACAGAAAGTCACGGAGAAAGCTCTTGCACAGAAGTGAGACTTGGCTCCCAATTTATTCCTCTACATGAGCTTGTCCTCGGGAGTGGGGGAACGAAGGGCTTCTTTGCTCTGAAATTTTTTCTCCGTTTGCATTTTGACCATCTTTCCTTGGAGCCATAATATTCTTTAGCGGAGCAAACAGAATCATCTGTGTCGGAACCTCCTGAATCCAGGGTGATCTTCTCATCCGGAGCCTCCTCTTTGCGTTCAGCAGCTTCTTTGGCCATCAACTTCTTTTGGTGTTTTTTCTTAATTTTGCGTGCTGTCGTAGATGGTATCATATAATACTTCTGACCAACCAACAGACTCTCCTCTGGCCTTAAAAGGGCCTCCTGTGGATTTTTGAACACTTCTGGGCGGGCGACACACATACCAGGATACTTTTCCATCAACTGAGATACAGGAACTACATTCTGGTACAGCTCCTCTCGACCGCCTGCATGAACTATCCTCACAAATACATCCTTCGAGTGCCATCTCAAGTCTAATGATATGGAAGCAGCATCTACTTCCTTTACTTCGGATCTGTCATCCACGAAAGGTCCTGTCAACTGCTTGTTTCGTTTAGATCCACTATCAGGATTCCAGGCTAGGCCTAACAACTGGATGCACCGCTTCAGCATAGCCCTTCAGCATACTCCATTGGTGGTAAGTGTGAGCATTCTATTGCCTTGATATTATCGAGCATTGACCACACCGCATAGTTCCTGGTTTTTCATGGCCGGCTTTCCTTCATATAATATTCTCTTCCACAGGAAGCTGTGATGAAACCAAGGCTCTCATAGTTGCAAACATCAGGAAGGAACAATTTCGTTGTCACTGTCGGATGTGAAAACCAAAGCGGATGCTAATGAATATAATAAACCACCAATTAGGACTCAAATTTTGTTTACTAGTTTGAACTCGTGCCGACATATCCTTATGCTGGTATCATATTCCCATAGGCCTGAAGAAGCCTGCCTTCCCAACTTCTTCAGTCTTCCGCTGATCCAGTTGTTATGGAGAATCAAACAACCCCACTTCGCACAGGCAGCTCTCACGTTTTTCCTCTGCCACAGGTCCAGATATGCGCCATTTGGGAAGGGATCTCTGTCCAAGAAATGGACAGTCACATTTGTTTCAGGTTCCAAGCATTTATTGTCACCCACACGATTGGAACCCCCTTCTCCACATAGCGTGTCGTAGAAGCGGCTGCTCAGATAGACCCGAAGTTGGTGCATGTGCCACCACCTTCTTCATAGCATTGATTGTCGAACTACCAGGACGGGCAAAGTAAAAGCCAGAGTTCAAGCGCCTAGGTACGTTAATTGGTCCTGCACACCAAAAAGTACCACAGAGAGGTTTTTAAGGCGATAGATAAATTGTCGTACAGATGGAGATATCACCGAAAAGTTATCAAGTAATATTCCAAACACCAGATAAATTTCATCAATTTTCTTTTTCTCCTCCACTCTATGTTTGTACCGAGTATTTATATACCATTAGAAAAGAAGAGTGATCATGTACACAGGATATCCTCAAGAAAAGCACCTGTCGTGTTGAATTCATCAGATTGAACGACAAGAATAGCAGGGCAAAGAGAGTAGAGCAATGGCAGCGGATTTCCAAACCAATATACATCCACATCTCTAAGAAGCACGTTGTAACCCAGCGTCAGTATCTTCAAAACCATTCGGGACTTCACTTTGGTCACCTTCTGAAAACATTTTGTTCCAAAGTGGCAATCGCTGCTGATCTCACTCGGAGCTAATGGATCCCTGAAAACAGGTAGGCCCTAACAGTAATACAAAATAGACAATCAAAACGACGAGTGCATTTGATTTGGAGATCAATCTACAATACAGACTAGCATCACGATGTTTGAGTTTCCATTTACCGAAACTTCACACAGAGTAAATATCGAAACTTCCTGCAAGACAGCAAACTCGTATATTTCCTTGTCAAGGGCACAAATGATAAAATTTGTGATTTGCAATTGGCAGCAATCTGCACACCCAGCTCATTAGCATGTCCTTGTAACTATATCCCGCAGCAGCAAGCACAATTGTGTTATTTTTGTGTGCATTTAACGGTACAAGTGTCTCCAAGGAGAAAGGAAAGTCTAATGGTTTTGAACGCCTTGGTGGAACCATCAGAGAGCAATTAGATAACCGGCCTAGTGATTTGAAACCGTCAACCAAACCCAAAGTGTTCACCTTCCACCAGGAATGCAGTATCCTTCCTTTTCGTAATCTCCCTGCACTTTGGCATTCCATTGGACAAACAACGTTTTCCCTAGTTCCCTTCACAGGGAGTCCATGGCCATCTCTGAACAAAAATCTCCTGCAACTCAAGGAAGAGAGCACAATATCAATGGAGGTGTCCTGAATGGCTGGCTGATCAATGGAGAATATAGTAATCCTCGGAGTGTCCGAACCGCCCGAACCGCCGGCAGCTCGTTGGCCAAGCTGGGGCCTCATGATCTGATCTTTGAGGGAACGAAAGCATTGGGTGGCATACAGGGAGAGGGTAACCAGAGCCAACCCAGTTGGCCAAATTGTACCATAAACTCCATACTCCCACCTTAAATGCCTGCAAAACCCAGTTAGCCAAATTGTACCTACATGATCTGATCTCTAATTTAATTGATTTTCTTTGAACGTTTCTGGTCCTTTAGTAGTCTTTGAACGACGACCTAATTTTCTTCTGGAAAAAAATGGATTACACATCATCTGGGTAGAACAATAAAAAGACATCATATTTCTGATCCTTTAGACACAAACCAAGGGGGTGAAATCAGCGATGTTGATATGAACAAACACTGTGGGAACATTGGAGCAACAAAGAGAAATTATGTTGGGTCACAAGACTCTGCAACTATAAATCGTGATGCCACAAAACTGGATTATTATAATTCCTACAAAACCACCATCAGCTCATACTCCACCAGCCAGCTTCAAACCGTCGAGCATGCAGTGCCATACTGCCATTATCCTCGGGACTTAATTGAACCATCCGACAATGTACACCGATTTCATATTTGGAGCAACACTCAACTGCAGTATCTGCATACAGTGCACTGGCTTTGCTGTGAAACTCAGTTCCAGCTCTTATCTGACATTCAGACTAGTAATGAACATTACTCTGGCTCTCTATTGCTATAGGATCCTTCCTCCAATCATCTCTGCCGCCGCACAGGTGATCTGGATCTTGACCTTCTTCCCCTGTATATTAATTAGTATAGTTAAAACAGACCAGAGATCGATTAGAGTTGTAGAAGCAGATGCCTGGCAATATCACCTGAGTAGTTGCTTATTGATAGCTGTATATGTCTGAAAAACAATACACAACAACGATTTCATGGCAACATACCTGCTCGTCTCAAGAGAAGAATAAGGAGAATGCCTGTGTTGAGAATGCTTGCTATGTGGAGACTGCGAAACTTGTCTAGAAATGAAAACATCCATGATACTTATTTGGTGAATTAAACATGAAGAGAAATGCTCAGCCTTTTGCAGAGTCATACTTGATAAGAAGTGACCCATTAGAACATACTTTTCGGCTTCTGATGACTATGTAAAGAACATATATGAGCAAGTCATAATTCTCAAAAGGGTTGAGAAAACAAAAGGTTTAAGCTTTTTTCTGCACATTACTACATGTCAACTTAAACTAGACATAAAACAAGTTCCAAATGGTACCACACCACCCCCCCCCCCCCCCCCCCCAAATCACGATTATGTTGTTGTTGCAGCATTGCATACAAGGTTACCAGAATCCAGATGATTGATCTCTATTCATATAGGCAATACACCAATAATGAAACCATGTATACCTTTTCACTCTTCATCCCGAGTTTTAGTTTTTATTTCTGACCTTGTGAATCAATTCAAAATAAAGAGCTAAACATATTATACCTGACATTTCGTAACCTCAAAATGTTAAGGCAGTAAAATCATTCACAAAAGGAAAGAGAAAGCTGAAAGATTAACAAATTCTAATACAAAAAAAGGGAAAAGACAAATGCAATGTAATTGAGAAAAGAATATACATTGATTTACTGCAAAGTATAAAACATGAACCATCACAAAAAAGTTCCAATCTCGCACAACAGTCACATTGGAGCCACAAAAAAAACCTCAGATAAACAGATTTAAAATCAGTTCATTTTGTATCTTTTACCTTTTGCATTAACCTGCTAATGACATTACCTTTAGTTTATTTTGATTTCTCTGTATAAAACTTTGATATAAGAGGACAACAGTCCAAAACATATTATCAATTTCGATTTACCGGAGCTTTGTAAAACTCATTGGGATGAACCTTATAATGCAGCAGAGAAGAAAAAACTGAAGAAAAAAAATTACTGATAAATCGTACCTTCTCCTAGACTTGACAGGTGATGGTGATAAATTACGTCTCCTTGAATGGCGCTTCCTGCCACATTATATTATATGAATCACAGTGTAATATAAGTTGAACTGAAAAAGACATAGTCAGATGACCACAATGAAGAACCTTTTAGAATCATCAGAAGCTTCATCGCTTGAATCATCCTTGCTGTTTCTTCCTCTACTGCCAACAGAAGAGGAGCGCCTTCCCTTGTGCCTGCTTGAGTCAGTAGAATATTTATGTCTTGATTTATCACCCTCCTTTTCCTTTGTCCGTCCTCTTTTCCGGTCCTTATCTTCTTTAGCACTAGCCCTATGGAGTCGCTCTGTTTCTCTTCTGTCCTGCTTGGCATCAGCAAGGGAAGACCTTTTTCTTGACTCAGATTCCTTAAAACTTTGCTCTTTCACCTTTTCTTTTGAGCCATTCCGATCATCTGTCCTTTCCTTTCTCGGATAATGTCCCTTACGATTCTCATCACCCTTCTCATCTGTCCTAATCTTACCACTTTCTATCTCCTTATTGATATCTTTTACAGAACTCTTTTCATTCTCATCTTGATCATGCTTATCAGGTTTCATCGTGGACTCCATAACTTGTGGGTCATCTTTTGATGTGTTTTTCACCTTGACAGTTTCTTTAGGTAGTTCAGGTTTGAATATCCCTACAGTATCCTTCAACCTAGAGGCAGTAGTTCCATCTGGCAAAATTCTATCACCATTACTATCATCATTCTTGTTTCTATTATTAGACTCAGGTGAACTGGTTTTGCCCCGTCCACTCTCCAAAATTGTCTGATTTTTACTATGCTCTTGAAGCTCTACAGAAGAACGGTCATTTACAGTGGCATCATGCCTATCATTTGAAGGCCTTCTGACAGTTGACTGCTGAAGCTTAGCATCTTTCCCAGAATTTGGCACACCAGAACTCTGAATATCACTATCTCCATCTTCATCATCTGTAGCATAATTTGCAAGACCCAATACATCACCAGGTAAAGTAGAACTAGATTTTACATCTCCAGTCTCATATTCCTTAGACTTGGCCGCAATTAGAACTTTTGCAGAAGCCTTGGGAGTTGTAACTGCTGGCGGAGATGGCAATACCTTATGGTTTGAAATGAGTGTCCTCTGTTCCACTATACCAAATGACACAATTGATTAAATTCTTTCCTTCTTTGTTATTAAAAAAAATTACAAAGAAAAAGTGCTAGACTAAACAAACAACATGTAAATATATAAGCACAAATCTAAGGAGCAATTATGGTACAATTACCTTCAACTGTCAGATCATCTTCAGCAAGAACTTTTGTAGCAATTTCATCAAACAGCTCATCAGTAACCTGTATAGAAACATAGAAGTTAAAGATACAGTATTATGGAGTTAAATAAGGCAATCCACACTCCTGAACACTACAACCTTCAAGAAAACTTCAGTTAGGATACGCTTTATTTCTTGGTTAATTGCTGCAGTCCTAGCAGCTTCCACTTGATCCTACAAAACAAAAAGATATGGCCTGTCGATCCCCCAATGAAAATGAAATGCATGAAATACCTATTATTATGAGGTGAATATATGGACAAAGAAAAAAAAATGCAATTTTATAGAAAGTGCAATTCACTAGAGGCGATACAGATGCAAAATGAATCATCTTCAGGTGACAACAAAACCTCATCATCCTCTTCTTCTGTTGGTCTAGAAGAATCGATGCTCTTGCTGTCTGCTTGATCACCTTTCCCAAAAGATCTATCAAAACCTTCATCCTCAAAAGATTGAGTTTCCTCCTTAGGATGGTCCATAGAAGAACTTGTGATGACTGCTTTCTTAATTTCGTCTCTAAGCCAACTAGGCACTGGAGCCTGGCAGAAATTTCAGTAGAACAGATTTAATAACAATCATGTAAGTCACCATCAAGTATATAAACATATGTTAACAATGGCATAGTTTACCTTTTTGGGGCGCTCAGTAACTGTAGAAACTCCATACGCATCACCAGGGAAGGCTGCAGTAGGGTGAACTGTGGTTCCTGCAGTGAGAGCAAAGGGCAATGCAGCAGATGGGAAACTTCCAAACGAACGTGGAGAATGGCCAGGAACAGGAGATGGTATTGCATTGGAGGGATCATGCTGCAGAATTAAACAAATGTCGGCAGACATTAATACAAAGGACTTAGAACTAAAGATAGACACATGACACCAGAATTAACACCTGTAGTCCTGATGGAACTGGAACATTATGAGGATAACCTACACCAGGTGCAACAGAACTAGGCCAGGTATTCACGGAGGGTGCTGTGGTCGCTGGGTCGACACCTCTTATAGTTCCATGTGAATCATGATAAGTATAGCTGGACTGCACGTGCGGACCATGATCAGAGGTAAACCCAGGTGCAAATTCTAAAGGCTGGTCAGCAAGATTGGTTGTTGGATCAGCAGACTGACTGCCATAGGCAAAAGGAAAGGGCTGTGATGGCTGCATGTGATGTTGTCCTTCTTGAGCTGCAGTCCCTTCATTGCCTGCCATTCAAGTAAATAGTCAAACAGCAAATCAAAAGGCTTTTCAAGGGAAATATCCTTGGAACAAATAAGGGTACAAATTCACTACTAGGAATTGGATCATTCCGGTTATACAAGCAAAGCTCATCTCTTTTGCATGAATTCCTACATGGACCATAAAAATCCGATGTAAATGTGAGAACAGAGATGTAACCAGACTCTAAATATTCCATTTCAACTACAAGTATTAGGGTTGGATACTTATTCTCTTTCTAATCTCTGCATAGGCATATTATTTCCAAAAACCCATTTATATTTCCACGAATCCAACTCAGAGCATCTGTACAGGGAAGATGGAGTTCTTGACAATTAATATTGCTCTTTTTAATGGAGATGGTCGCCACTCAATCAAATGGAAAATGTATTCTTTGTGTGCATGGTTCGACTCCTTCAACTTAAAAAAAGAAGATAATTTAATTGGCAGGGTAACAAAATCAGCATATCTGATTGGGTATGAGTCAATTACTCTAAACTCCTTTGAACTTTGCACCAATTGCTTGCTGAGGTGTCTCTTGCAATTAAAAGAAATTTAATTTACAACTATTCCCAAAAATCTAAGTTGTTAGGATGTTTGCAAATAAATATTTTATACTCCCAACACTCACCGACTAATGTGGGTCTCACCCCACTTCTTGCTTAAACAACATGTGAAATTCGTAAATGTTTAAGGCTTGCATGGTTCACCTATAACAAGCTTTATTATATTCTACCAATTCGTAGTCATAATAAATATTAGAAAGGTAGTACTATGTCTGGCAAGGGAGTTTGGAATAATATACTCTCATTCTCATTGATATAATTATTATTTTAAAAAATCCAGATGGAGGCCTACATCTGCAGAAAGACTGTCAAGTTTATGCATTTCATTGCATTACATCTATAACCAATAGCAAAAAATGGTAATAGGATTGTGAAAAACAAACTGAGCATCCATTCGAAATAGATAACTAATGAATGAGAACAGCTATCTCAAACAAAACAAAAAATTGAGAAGAAGGAGAGCCACTTAACCAGTTATTATCAACCACCTACTTATATCAAGATTAATTTGGTTGAAATAATCACAGCCGAAAGAAGCAATGTCCAATTAAGATTATCAAGATACTTTAATGATCAGTATGGAAGGTCCTATATTTGGTATAATTGAAAAAAATCCAGAATGTCGAACTAAGGAGTAAAATTGAGTTCCATAACAGCAGTTGTGGAACACAAGCTTCACATGCAAAGCCAATACCATTTGAATTATTACCTGTCACAGAAGAATAACTATAAGGTACCTCCTGCTGATGGACAGATGGACTTGTAGATAAGATTCCTTGACGGTGAAACAGAGCATTTGAGTCCCCAGCTGGCGTTCCATCTCTAACAGCGTGATGAAGATAAGGAGATAGTTCAGAGCCGATTGATGAAGTCTCCTGGGAATGAATTCCCGGTGGGTAGTGTGTTAGAGCACCTGAAACTGGAACCTGTTGATAGCTAGATGCAGAAAATGACTGATGGTGACTACCAGAATAGTGCGGGTCACCGTTGTGGGGATACTGTTCCTGATAATGACTCTGTTCTTCTAATCCCCCCGCCAGTGGAAACTGCAACTGTTGATGTTGAGTCTCCACTGCCATTCTAGCATCTGCCCAAGCCTTAGCCTTCGCTTCCCAATCTTGATTATTTGGGGCTACCATTACATAAAACAATCAAATTTAATTCATTGCCATTAACCCGCAAAAAGCAGAAAATCCCATTCCTAGCAGCATTTTACCCTTACACTAGATCAAATAAGCAATTGGATAGTTCAACAAATAGGACCTCGAGGTTGTTTTACTTCACAAAGGAACTAATTTCACCGAACAGATTAAGTGGACAACAAAGATATAACGGGGAACATGGTGTTTTACTGCATATGAATTCAACAAATAAAGTTGTGGTTTACATGAAATGTGATGCGGAGAGAACTCACCTGCGTAATTCGACCAACTCGGAGGAGCAGCTCCCCACTCCTGCAAAGGTTTATGCTTTGCGTTAGAACATCAGCATTACAACTTTGACCCCAAATACAGATACAGTGATTGTTTTAATCAAAAGAAGAACAAGTCTCAATGTTAACCCTCACATCAAGATTCAAGGATAAACAACGAGTTCAATGCACCCAAAAATCAATTTATCAACACCAGGTGCACATGCATACATATACATGTACTGATATACATATAAATATACACATATATATAGACAGAGAGACAGAGAGAAAGAGTTTAGGGAATGCCTGGGCGTGCTGATAAGAATGAGGTGGAGGAGGGCGAGGCGGAGGGGGAGGCAGGTGAGGGCGAGATTGATGAGGAGGGGGAGGGGGAGGAGGGAAGAGGGCGTGATTTGGGGGTTGCGCAGGATAAGGGTGAGGGGGCGGAGGATAAGAACCCGGGGGAGGGAGATGTTCAGTGTACGGCGGTGGTGGTGGAGCTGGTGGGTACTGGTACTGGTTGGGGTACCAGTCTGGCCTTGGTTGCTGCTGGTGGTGGTGGTAGTGATAGGGATCCGACGTGACCCGTGGTTGCGGCGGCGGGGGCGGTCTCAGGTACCGCTGCTGCGCTTGGTACGAATCCATGGCGATTTCCTTTTGGATTTTTGGCCTTCTTTTTCCTGTTTATTTATTTATTTTTTTCGTTTTTTGCTTTTTTTGCTTATTTGCAGCGAGGGTTTGCACAAGTGTTGTGTAATTGAATGGAAGACGAAGGAGGAAGAGAGAGGGCCCTCTGATTTCGTTTCTATGTTTCCACTCCCGCGGGGCCGCGGGGGTTTCTATAACTTGGGCCTTTGGGCCGCGGGGGTTTATTTTTTGCGGTTCTGATTTTTCACGCTACTTTTACTTTCTTATATTCTTTTTATTTTTTATGATTAAACAAGTTCAAACAAACGTGTGAATATTTAAAAGCATTTACTATTAAGATCATGTGTTCAAGTCCTCCAATATCGGTTCCATCACAGATTCACAACAGGAGAAAAAGAAAAAAATAAAATAAAATAAAAAAATTTACAAAGAAAGTGAGTTAGTCACAAAATTGTGGTAGGATTAAGCAATTAAACCAAGAGCCAAACAAGCTAATTAAATCATAATCAATCACTCAAAAAAATTTCTATAATTGTGTTTGTTCGTTTTACATAACTACAACGGTGAGTATATACACAAATTCTCTAAAAATTTTGATGATCAATATAAAATATTGACGTGATGTAATTATAACCGTTCAAATAGGATGAGATGAAATGAGAGAGAGATTAGCAAGTACAAAAGATACTAAGCCTCTTGGTTTGGTGGGTACCTACGTCAAGCACCCGAACTTCAATAATTTGATCAAACGATTAAAAATTAAGAGAAATGTGTGCAAAGTAAAAAAAAATATGAGTAACACCATTCATCTGAAAAAAAAAAAATAATTAATAAATAATTAATTGAAGGCAAAACTTTTTGGGGCATATCTGAAATTACCGCAAAAAAAAATATTGACGCGTGCACGCGTACTCGTAAAACGACGGCGTAAGTAACGTGTTTTCGCGAGACAAATCGAGGCTGCTACAGTTGCCACACGTCTCTCGTCTGTGACGCGCCACGTTCACATGCTTTCCAAGACTATTGCCCTAGCCAAACTCAGAATCTATGATCCAGAGCGCCCAGATTAATAACGTAATTACGTATCAAATTAAGGGTATTTCCGTCTATATAAATCAACGACCCAAATCTCTCTCCCACTGTCTTTTCAGCGGGAACCCCATATCTTACTCTTCTCTCCTCTTTTCTGACTCTTTCCGGAACACGATGGCCGTGGTTATCGGAAACCTAGCTCTGCTACTAGACGTCACGTCGCCTAGGACCACAGTTCCTGACCGGAAGACCCGTCCGGTGGCGCTCGACGCCCTTTTGAACATGAGCCTGACCTTGCCGAAGCGGGACCCGCATAGTCACGCGCACAACGGGTTTATCGCGGTCAAGGGATTTGACTCGGACGGGGAGACTCGGAGCCAGCGAGTCGTGGCTCGGGGAAAAGCGAATTCGAAAGTAAACGGCGTGAACTACGACAGGGACGAGGAAGGGAACGGGAATGGGTACGGGGACGGGGACGGGGACGATCAGGAGCCGTTGGATTGGGAGAAGGAAATGCGGAAGAGGTTGAAGGAGATCGAGGAGAGGAGGGAGTTGGAGAAGAAGGCGGAGGAGATACAGAGCCGCATGGAGGAGGATTTCGAGGACGGCGGCAGGGAAGAGACGGAGCAGGAGAAGCGGATGAGAGTGAGGAAAGAGCTCGAAAAGGTCAGTCTTTTGAGCCAATTTACTGTTTGGTTCCTCGGAAGACAGAGTAAAAGTTTTCGATTTTGCGTTGACAAGTGATTTGCGCACACCCTTTCTCACTTGCACACCCTGTTTATTTTTCGCCTTTAGATTGAATAAAAAGGAGGCACATAAACTTATGTATCAAATTGAAGCTTGATTCTTGAAAAGTTTATTGCTTTAGGCGTGTAATATGTTTTTGATTTCGTGGTTGGTGGGGAAATTACGGGTAGGCTCAATTGTAGTTGTAATAAGATTGATTGGTTTAATTTGTTGCTGTGGTATGAGGGCAGGTGGCTAAGGAGCAGGCGGAGCGGAGAGCCACCGCACAGTTGATGTTCGATTTGGGGCAGAAGGCTTATGGAAGGGGCATGTACGGCCGTGCCATTGAGTTTTTAGAAGGCGCCCTTACGATCATCCCTAGGCCCACGTTATTCGGTGGTGAGGTTGGTTTAATTCCCCATTGACTATGTGGAACTTCTTTGGACAATTGTGTTAATGCCAGTACATGTTTGTTCAGTTGCTAATGGAAACTTTCTGTGTTGTTTTCAGATACAAATTTGGCTTGCTATGGCCTACGAGGCTAATAACCGCCATACCGATTGCATTGAACTTTACCATCAATTGGAGAAGAAACACCCGAGCGCCAGCATCCGGCGCCAAGCTGCAGAGCTTCGGTACATTTTGCAAGCACCAAAGCTCAAGATAACACAAGAAGAGATGGTAACCATACCACTCATTGGTTCTAGTTATGACAGGTATGGGCCCTTCTCACTCAAGCATATCATGCTAATTGTAATTACCCAATGGTTAAAGTGCATGTGTTTCCTCTGACCTGCATAGAGGAATCCCTGAATCACCTGGATCGGGCTTTCCAGTTCTCGGTCTATCAATTACAAGGCTACAACATTTGATGCCCCCCTCGTTGAGCATTAAGGTCCTTCCAACATGTAATGGAGACTTGTTAAGATGGTCTGAAAATTAACCTCTTGACGGATGTTTGATAATCTTGAATTTTCTAGAGAAGCAGGGCTGCAAATGCAAATAAACATATTGAACTAAAACCGTTCTTTTCTTCACAATTCGGTAGCTTTGTTTTGAATAACATGGAGGTCGTTTGATAACCATATCGCTTTTAGTTTTTCACAAAAACACTTGGTTAACACCCGTTTATGTCTCGGTTTTTTCTCATTTCCTGCAATTCTTCTCAAATCTTCCCTGACTAATGCGGTTTATGATGCTTGAGCTATGCAGCTATGCTGGAACGTGGAGTGATAAATACAAGGACAAAGCACCGATTAGCAGCGGGACAGTGACCAATCAGCTCCCTTCGTCTAGAGACTATTTCGGAGACTTTATGGTATGGCGACCTCCAATCGGACTGGAAAAAAACCAAGCGTTTTGGATAGGTTTGGCATTGTGGTTGGGTTTAGTTGGAGCTGCGCTCTTTATTCAAAACTGAATTATACAAATCCTTCTTGTTGTATTTGTGTATCATTGAGGTGTTTGTCATCTTATTCATGTAATTATTGGTTGTTCTTGTAATATATGTACATTTCATGGCAAAAATGTTGAATCTCTCTACTTTCTCAAAGTTGCATTTTTCATTTCCAACTCCTTTTTGTTTGAGTAACCTGTTTTTAACAACTTAGAAAGCAAATATTACCAAATAGGTCCCAATCATTGAACCATATTCCGAACAGACAGCGAATCATATTCTAAAATGACAACGAATCACTCAATGATTTTAGTGTGGCCTCTATAGAATCTAGAAGTGAGCTAAAACCGTTTTAAAAACTTTATATGTCAATTCACGTAGGATTGTATATTGGTTAAAGTTTCTTCCTACCTTCAAATTTAGTTGTGTGACATTCTACTTAGAATTTGACGTCTTAAATATTAATTTTCACATTGCGGGGTTCTTTAGGTCTAAAATTATTTCTGGTGTGGGCCGGATGATTGGGCTATGACAAAGAGTAAAGATATGGGCTGGCTTTAAAATGCCACAGTTAGCCCTACGTGAAACGCCTCGCGAATCCTCAATCCTCAGGGTAAAAGCGTAAATCCACATGAATTCCCACCGGATAAATACCCAAAATCCCAACCTCCCCCAATCTTCTGTGCCGCCGAAACCCTAGCTAGGTGAGTGAGAGCAGGAGGCGCAGAGAGAGAGAGAGAGAGAGAGAGAAATGACGACCCGATTCAAGAAGAACCGCAAGAAGAGAGGCCATGTCAGTGCCGGTCACGGTCGTATTGGCAAGCACCGAAAGCATCCCGGAGGTCGCGGTAACGCCGGAGGCATGCACCACCACCGGATCCTCTTCGACAAGTACCATCCAGGGTATTTCGGCAAAGTCGGTATGAGGTACTTTCACAAGCTTCGTAACAAGTTCTACTGCCCCATCGTGAACGTCGACAAGCTCTGGTCGCTCCTCCCCCAGGAGGCCAAGGACAAGGCCACCAAGGACAACGCGCCGCTCATAGACGTGACCCAGTACGGCTTCTTTAAGGTCCTGGGCAAGGGCGTGTTACCGCAGAACCAGCCCGTCGTGGTCAAGGCCAAGCTCATCTCCAAGACCGCCGAGAAGAAGATTAAGGAGGCCGGTGGCGCCGTCGTGCTCACCGCTTAGGTTTGGGTTGTTTTGGAATTTTGAGCACTAGGGTTTTCGATTAAAGTTGCTGTCTTTTCGATTTGGAATTTCTGTTTAGACTGCTGAGCTACAGTTTATGTTATATTTTGGAAGTTTAATTAGCGGATATTTATATGCATTTCTGCTTTTCCAAATGAACGGTTTTGCTGTGGATGTATGATTACGTTGTGGTATCGTGACGGTTTTGTTTCGATTTTGTGTTTGTTAAATTTTGTTTGGCAGTATGATTATCCATTTTCGAAAGCTCGTGAGCATTGCTATGTATGCTTTCCGAATGCAGCATTGAAATTCATGTTGATTCGACGCCACTTGCACTTGTGAAATCGAGTTTTTGCATTTGTGCATTTCGTCTATTTTCCACAACATATGTGCTGGGTGTAGGCCCCAACTGTATCTTGTTAGTCCTCCAATGCACAGGTTGAATGGCCAGAAATGCTTTTTGCCGGTGTGTTTTGGGTAGAGGTCATCCGACTGCTTAACAGTTTATGATTGTTTTGCATATTAGACCCTCTTAAGATTCACATTCGTTTGCATTTGTGATGTGTTCTTGGTTGGTTTACAAGTTCAACAGATGTTATAGAGGCAGAGTAAAATTGAATTGATCTTCTGTCCTCCTTGTTAATCCACTCAGTTAAGTATTTAGTAACTATCAAATCAGATGTTCTTACGCACCGTATAACTGCATTTGTTAGTTTGCTCTTTTAGGCTGTACAAGCATATGATGCGAGCTGTAATAAATAATATATTTTAGTGCTGCTGTTTGGGAGAAGAACTTACATGCAACTGGGACGGTGTCCTAATTAGGGCTGAAAAAGAAAAAAACCGAAAAAACTGAACATGACCTGAGCGATAGTTAACACGATTTTATTTATCGACTGTTTTCATTGTCGAGTTCCATTGCCATATTAGGATTCACAAGATGTATGTTACTTCTTACAGTATCTAGCCCTCCTTCCTGATAAGACCTAAATCGTTGTTCTTTTCCAAATCTGTATGTCCATCGTTGTTCTGTGAATCTGTATGCCCTCTGTTCTCTTTCGATTCTATTTCCCCTCCCCATTTCCTTATCCTGTCTTCAGCTATAGATGCCTGCAATATCATTACAGATTACGTCTCAGCTTATGTTTTTCTCATTGGACAGACCAGAATATTCGATATCGATCAACCACCACCGTTACCTCTTTGTTCCAGCTGGTTTTACAAATCATCGAAAAAAGGATACCAGTTTGAAGGACAGTCCCCAGCAGCAATCCAATCCAAATACCCTGGAAGTTATCAATATATATTTACTTTACCACTCAGTAAATATAAAAACTGGAATGGAAGCAGACGTTGGTTAGGTCAGTGCGAACTCACCTTTGCACCCCCATGAAGCTTGTAACCCATGATTAGGCCCAAGGGAACCCCAAATGCATAGTAGCATATCATGTTCATATAACCCACTACAGCTTGCCATCCTGCTCCAACGGCGACCCCAGAGAGAACCGTTTGAGCGTTGTTTATAACAATACAGGTAGCCAGCAACGGAGTGAGTTGCTTCACAAGAGCTTTCACCTCCGAATCGCTTGAAAACAAAGACGGATATATGTCCCGGGTGACGATGAGTGCTAGCGAGAGGGCAACGCCGATCAGAAATGAAGTCATCACGGCCACTACTAACGAAAACTTTGCCGTTCTTGGGTGAGATGCGCCTAGTTCATTAGACACTCTCACACTGCAAAGTGTTAAAGATTGCATTTCAGATTAAGATTTTTTAATGCTTTTTGAAGTTAGCAAGTTTGATGTAGTAGTATGGATGCGGGACTGAACGAATGACCTTATAGCTGTGTTCATGCCGAAAGCTACCATGAACGTCCATCCGGATATGCTCACACTGCATAACGAACAGCGCTATATCAAAATAAAATATTTTCCCAAAAAAAAAAAAAACCCTGAAGAAATATTGAAAAAAATAAAAAGAAATATGTTTATGCACCAAGTACGTTTCGCCACATTTCGGTTGAGCTAGAGCGACTTTGTAATGCTCACAACTGGCTGACTGGGGAGAAAGTGGTATTTGGATTCAGAACTTCTTTAGATCTCTCATTTTTTTTCAAAGATCTGCAATTCTAATCTGTTAAATTTGTGGTTCAAAATTTCTTTCTAATGTGAATTATTCAAAATATTTGGAGTTCGGCATTTTTGGAGTTGGTGTTATCTCAAAAGTTTGAAAACATAGTTCAAGACTTCTATATTTTTACCTAGACGTCATGCAAACAAGGCACGACCGTGTGTCTTAAACTGACCCGAACGCGTAACAAAATAGCAGAAGAAGAAACCACTCACCATATGGATAGGCCATCCACAGCAACCTTTGCATTCTTCAGATACCCAGCAAAAAGAACTAGTGCCATAAAGTACCAATATTCCAAACTGCACAAGATTTTAAAAAATAAAATCACATGAGCTTATTCAATTAGCAAAAGCCTTGAATAAAGGTTAAAAGTTAAAATTTGGCAAAACGTTGACTCCAAATTACAGCTAACGTGTAAATCTTAGCCATAATGCTACATCGATAAGGATCGTAAGCTGTGACTAACAACTTTTTATGAGATTGGAGATATAGAATTTAATCTAGTTAGAGAAGAGTTTTCTTTTTTCTTTTTTTTTTTTTTTTTTTTTTTGTTGCATTTAAGTCGAATCACCCTCATAGTTTAGCCCGTATCATCGTGGATAGGGTGTTAGCCTTCTACCCATGCGTTTCAAATTTGAAATTTCGTTCATGAAAATGTTGTAATAGTTTCAACCCTTTCCCACACCCTTAATAATAATAAGTTTATAAAAATATTCTTATTCAAATTAGTTAGAGTAGTGTTTTTTCTTTTGCACTTAAGTTCGAATCACCCTCCTCATAACTTAGATCAATTTAGAATAGAATATATTTTTCCTCACTTGCCATTATTCACAAAATTAAGTTAACTTTATTTTGGAATTAACTTGGCTCCTGAATGAATGAGGAGTTCCTCCTCAATTCACTATGTAGCCAATTCACGAATCTCATGCTTATAATCCGAATCGTCCATGTTATAAATCACTACATAAAAATTATCTCTACAAAAAATTAATTAACTATGAGATCGTTTGGTTATCAAATTGTACAAAAACAAATAGACGATGCGTAATACATGGATTCGGCAAATAAATTACAAACCTCTATCTGTTTGCTACAATTAATTGACTAAACAACCTTAATTTTAATTGATTTTTTGTAAAAAAAATAAGGGAAAACTTGATATAAGTCCAATTTTTTTAACCAATAGTAGGAACAGTCCAATTTATTAAAATAAGTCCAAGTCCTTAAATTTAATTATTTTATTATCAATAATTAGCTATTCAATGATAAGATTTATTATAAAAATCAAATTTCTTCCTAATTATCTCTTTGATTATTATTTTTTTTTTTTTAATTTCTTGTTCTTCCTCCTGCTTTAAACCCCATTTATAGATTTTATTTTTAATTTTTATAATCAACCTATATCACAGGTTAATTATTTGACATATTCTTTTTTATAATCAACGTGTCACAAATTCATGTGTCTTGCTTGTAGGTATATAATGTTTTTTCCTACCTTTTAGTTGGGTTTCATATCTCACTTACAGGTATAATATATATTCATATATTTGTTACTTGAGTTAAGGTACAATGTTTTGTAGATAATTTATGTTAGTATATTAGTTTTTTTTTTTTTTTTTGTAAGATATTAATTAGATTTTTTGGAGTTGAAAAATGCATAATATTAGAAGATTTTAATTGATTTTTAATATTTAAAAAAAATATAAAATGAGTATAAAATAAATAAAAACATGTAATTAGATAATTGGAATCACTCCTAAAAACCATCTATGTTTTTGGATCTAGATCTAAAAGCAATAATTTTTATATATTAATTTATAACATAAAAATTCCGATTATAAACACAAAGTTTTAAATAGCCACTAAAAAAAAATTAAGCAGTGACTCCTCCTTAATGTAGACGAGCCAAGCCTTTATCATTATTTTTTTATAAAAAATAATTTAACTCAATATTATGCAATAATCGTAAAAATAATTTAGAATTGAGTTTAGCAAGTCTGTTTGAGTACCAGATCATGATTCCAGAAGCCACAGACAACTTAACAAAACCCCAAAGATTATGAAAGGCCTTCCACGAGAACCCAACCCAAGCTCGACCACATGTCCCAGAAAATATATAAACCAACTGAGCCAAAACTATGAACCACCAGGACGCGTTGAACACGACGGCGGCGCCCGCCAGTCCCCACCCGAGCTTCAACATCAAAAGCCAGCTGAACAACGTGTGCAAGACCAGAGCCACTGCGGATACCGCTGCCATGACCATGATCTTGCTCTGCGACTGCAAGAACTTGGCTAGCGGGAAGTTCATGGCGTAGGCAAACAGTTGTGGTATCATCCATATCGCGAACTGTCCCGCCGCCTTCGATATGTCATCGGGCTGCCCTATCAGTTTGAGTAGTTGCTGTGCAAAGATGTGAAAAAAGGAGAGCAGTACGGCGGTGGCGTTGAGGATCACCCACGACCTCTGCATGTAAATTCCTAACATGTCCAGCCGCCCTGCTCCGAACGCTTGCCCACACAACGTCTCAAGCGCGCTCCCCATGCCCAACTTCAATAATTTTGGATATACAGGTCAACTTTTTTTTCTTTATAAAAAATAGTTGGCGAAACTGAGATATTTTTACGCCATATATTGTAACTTTACAATAATTGAATGTGGTTAATATTTTATCAGCAAATATATGGTCAACAACAAGATAGAAGGAACATACACACATAAATATATATATATATATATATATTTATATATTTGCTGAATATGATTGAAGGTAGTGGTTGCATGGTGAGCGTACGAACCATAACACCAAATGAGAAGCCGGTTATGACAGAGTTTGCGACGGATACGGTTGCAAGCTCTAAGATGCCCACATGGCCGGCGAAGATCTGTGTGATGGCGGCGATGGAATATTGGCTTAAGGAAGTGAAGATGGCTGGGCCAGCGAGGTACCATAGCGTTTTGGTTTCTCTGTAGAACAGGCGGGAGAAGTCACGGAAGCTGAGGATGGGAGGGATGTCGCCGGCATGCACCACTACCGGATTATCCTCTTGGTCAAGTGCCATCCGGGATGTCGTCGGCATGCAGAGACGTACAGCACCACCTGCCCAATATTGTATTATAATATATGCTAACTTTTGTCTGGTATATATGATATTTTTGAGTGGTGCTGCTTAATCTGGGACAATAATTAGACATGACTAGTTAGTGTATAGTTTTACTGACCACCAATAAATAAAAGTCACATGTCAACCAAAACTCTTGCTAAATTTATAACCAAACAACCAACTCTAACATTGCACCTATAACCAAACAGCCACTCTCTCCTCGTAAGACTATGTTGCTGTCTGCCGTAGATCTCGTCCGCAAAAACCTCTCCTCTGCTGAGCCCTCCCCTACACCAAAACATCTTCCATCGAACCCAGCCTTGCCCACTCATAATCCAACCCTCTCTTTAGCCATGGAAGGACGTCTGCACCCAGTGGCGAAGCCAGAAATTGACAGGGGTAGAGACGAAGTCAAGTAGTGTCTACGAAACGGCGCCGTTTCAATTATTTTTTTAATTTTTTTTTTTGTCAGGACCAAAACGACGTCGCTTTGGCCTGGATGATTTAAATTATAAAAAAGAAAAGAAAAAAAAAAGCGCAGTCTACTACTGCGTGGAGCAGAACCCACACATCTTCGGACCGCAATGAGCTCTGAACCACTTAAACCCAATGGCGGATCCAGGATTGTAAGATTGGGTGGTCCAAATCTAAAGTTCCAAAAATTATTAAATGAAAAATAATATTGAAAAATTAAACAATAAACAACTTTTCATTCACAATCTTCGTACACACAACATTACAAATTACAAAGACTAAATATGTCCCCAACGAGATTTCATACTAAAAAATGCGTCATGATAGATTTATTGTCAACTAGAGCAAAAACATCTGTATATGATTGAAATCATCCAATATTGAAATTGAACTATTTGATATGTGGACACTAGAGAGGAGACTAGTGTTGTGCTGGTGGGTGGCCCTCGGTGGGGTGGGGTGGGGATAAGGAATGGTTCTCTGTTTCAAATTTGAACTGTTTTGTTTTTGTTTTTCAAAAAAAAAAAAAAAATTTGTGAAAACTATATATTAAAGAAGTGCACCAAACGCACCATTTTACTAAAGGATGTTTTCAAACCCAAGCCCTATGTAAAACACACCGTTTTACTTAAATGATAAATAGTCTTCTTCTTCCTTCTTCTAATTTGCAGAACACCAGAACTCTGCAGCCCTGCTCCTCTTATCCTTCACTTTGTGCCCAGACTTGGGTGGTCTCAGGACCACCCAGTTCCCTTAATAGATCCACCCCTGACTAAACCAGTGGGTTTTCCGACGAAATGAGGAGCGGACTCGGAAATCCAGTCCTGTTTTCCGACGATGGGAGTGGCGGCCGCCACTCTTTGCCCTCACATGGCTTCGCCACTATCTGCACCTACCCACTCACAAGTCACGACTCGCGCCACCTTTCTCTCCTTGCTACCATAGTTGCATGGGAAGAAAAAAAAAAGGAGTTTTAACGAAAAGTCCACGGTACTGTTCACTTTAACGAAAAATCACATTTTTACACTAAAAAGTCAATCCTAGTACTATTCACTTTACCCTTTATTTTGTCCTTATCATTAAAACTCAAAGTTTTCAAGCCATTTTCATTAATTTTCTAAAAAAAAAAAATAGTGGATTGGGGTTGGGGTCGACGAAGGAGAGAGACAGGAGGAAGAGACGTGAATGCTGTCAATGGAGGATTTGTCATCGATTTGGTATCATGGTCTGTTTTCGAAGTTTGAGAAGAACTCCAATGAAGGACATTTGGCCAGGTGGGAGCGGACAGTGAACGGTGCAAGTGACCGGATGGGAGAGGACGGTGGCTGGAGATTTTTTGCGAGAAAGAATATGACGTTTGGTTAGAAAGATAGAGGTGTTTGGCTATGAGTTTAGAGAGTTAAAATAAACAGTTGTCGTTATCTAGTTAGGCCACGTGCAACAGTCAGTGTGTCAGGACCCAAATATTATCCCTTAATTAGCCTGCTTTTATTTGTTCAACTCTCACTTTCATAGGAGATAAATGATTTTTATCCCCAAAATATAAGGGAAATAATCTATTTAAATTATACTTTGTAAATCATATATTATTTATTTAAATTATATTTTAAAATTATATGATATTGTTATTGATGATTAAATTATTATTTATAGGTTAATCAACGTGCTTTTTTATTATTAGCGAGACATTGCATAATTTATAAGAGGAATGCTAGTCGGACTTGTCCAAAAAATGAGTCTAGCCTGACTCTCCCATCACGTGGAGATATTTTTCAATGTGATCGGAACATAAGATGGTACAATCATTACTCTTGCTGTCATGTTATGATTACGCGAATTGAAAGTAAAAGTTGTCGACACATCATTGTTGGATGCAATTTCTTTCTATCATGTATGATTACGCAAATTGAAAGTAAAGGTTTTTGGCACATTATTGTTGTATGCAATTTCTAGAGAGAATCAGCAAAACCCCTTGCTAATCACTAATTACGGCTAGACACGTGATTGATGATCAGCAAAGGGTATTGCTGATTCTTTCAGCAGCCAAGTCCCATTCTTTGTGGATGTCCCTACAACTTTTAGAAGACCCGAGTTTCTCAATGGAACTCAAACCTTCAAAAGGATGTTTAGAATATTATCTTAACAAGAGAAATGTTAAGAAGATTATATCAAAGGGACTTTTCGTGAATTTTTTGTCACCTCACAATTTAACGTTAATTTATATAACAACATTATAAAATATTATGCAAATAACAAAAGATAATAGATTCTTTATGAAGAGTTTCATTTTTAAAGATTGTCTTTAGCATTTCCCGTTTAACGTATTTTATTCTCATTAGCAATAAAATTATCAACATTGTCCTCGAGATGCCAAGTGGACCTCAGACTTTCTTCCACTATTGTACTTGTATTTTATTATTTCTAAATAGTGCTTATTTTTATGAACATTTAAACGAAGAGTAATGTTAAGAAGATAAATTTATAAATAAAATTTATAAAGTAAATGATGTGTCATCAATAGAGATGATCACGTTTATTAATGCTTAAATAATAATCCAATTATCCATATATAGGTCATTTAGTTTACAAAATTTTATTTATAAATTTAACCTCCTTAACATTATTTTTAAACGAAACTCAATTTCCGAGATATAACGTACAAGTTAATGCCTGAAACTGTAAAATTAACCGGCAAATCTTCCCTCGTGCATCGCGCACCACTGCTGGATTTAATGGAGTGTCTAAGTGGGTGCAGCGTGAAGACCTGCTCTTGTTTCTTGTGGAAATTATAGTGAATGGAAGTAGGAATCAAAATATAGTTTTAATGGGTTTTAATTGTGATGTTTGCTGAAATCAACCCACTCACTCGGCCAGTAATTTCCACCGTACACTCCACTTACCTCGAAAGGCTTCAAGTCATGGTTGGTGGAATTCCAGGCCAACTAACGGACCGGAATGTGGAATTTTTTTTCAAAGAGAATGGTTGAAGTGACATATTTATCTCCCCATCTGTAATGTCAAATAAATGATATATTGGAAAAAAAATAAATTATTCCAAAATACGATCAATATAGCAATTTAGATTTGAAAATTCAAGTTTTCAAAAATTATTTATGCAAAGGTTCAAAGTGTACCCCCAATGTTTTTATTTAAGCATTAGTTTAAACTTGAAGAAAATTGAGATTTCATTGTAAAATTTATTAGTTATATAAAACGTAGCTCAACTCCCAAGACATGCAATATTCTTTAATTTTCCCATATGGGATTGACACTCCTAACGCACTTCATCACCTATGGGCCACTGAAAATTAACACATGGACAACATATGTTGCGTGATGTAGTAGCAAGTGTGTTGTTGACTATGCTTTAATATTATGAAAAAGTCTACAAAATCAATGAAATATATAGAGAAATAAACTTTTTGTAAACACTTGCAAACGCCCATTATTTTCTGGGAATTGTTATTAGCACTCCAAAAATCTTATTCTACACTCCAAACTTTCTATATTAAGAAAGAAAAATACACTTGTGAAGAGTAAAATGAGGTTTTTGGAGTGCGAATAACACTTTCCTATTTTTTTACGTGTAATTTATACACTCAACACATTACGATAGTTATTGACACTAAGGTATACATCGTATACTTTGTTCTATTACATGCATTTTATGATGAATACCAACCCACTTGGATTTTAAAACCTGTCCACCAAATACAAATAAACTGAATAGCTCATGCAACCTTAGCTTAGCCAAAAATAACCACACACACAACATTATTAAACAATTTCAGAATTATTATTTTTTGGTTGGAATAATATATATATATATATATATATATATCTCCAGCCGTGAGACATTGCTAGTTAGTAGTCAAGAAGTCATCTTTATAATTGATCTATTGACGTGTGGGTGTGCCTATGAAGGAATTCTTAAATCCGAACGTTCATATGCGTGCACTAGGCACAAAGAGGTGGTGGGATCAAAATCCGACAAGTCAGGTGGTTTTTGTATCTACTATTACTATCATGAGATTCTGTCTTCTGCACTTAAAAGTTTCTCCAGCTTGTGAATATGAGGTTTCTAAAATTCTTAGTGTACAATATTTGTCATGTCCATAATTTTTAGTGTCATTTGGGCCCAACCAAATAAAATCTGAATAAGCACGCATTTGCTTTGTTGAGTTTGTCTAATCACGGTTTGAGCAGGAGCCTCATGTATTTATATATCACTTTCCAATTATTTAGGTTCATTCGAGCATTTAGCAAGGCACACTAGTGAACTAAAAATGGGCCCAGCCCAGATACTCCATAAAGGCTGAAAGCCCATTTCACTAATCAGCTTAATCAAAACAAAACAACATAAATTAAAATAAAAAAAACAAACAAACAACAAAAAAAACCAAAACAACATAAAATAATGGCTTCTCAACTTCATACCTATAGTTTGATTTTCTACCACTTTTATACTTGTGTTAGGTTTTTCCATTTTTGTCAAAATGATCCATTAATTGATGACATGAAGGAACTTTGACCTATCCTACCTAGGCTTGGCCATTTTTTGTAAGATTCGTTAACCGACATGAAAATAACAACTTTTGGTTCAACCTGTTAACGAGTTGGGTTGTTATCGGGTCAATTGTTAAGAACTTGTTAACATGTCGGTCGTTATCGGGTCATCTGTTAAGAACCTGATAAAATATCATTTGCCAAACATTAGGCATGTTAATTTCTTACATGATCCATTAACCTTACATAAAACGACACGACTCATTAATAAATCAGGTCGTTATAGCCTTATTAAGAACTTCCTGTGATATTGGGTTTGATATAACATGACCTATTAAAATAACAGACATAACACGAACACGACCATTTTATCAAGCCTAATCCTACCATATCATCAATTAATAAAAAAGCTAACGACCAAACTAAGAAGTGGAATCTCCTATCGCTCCACTCCATAATCAGGCCGATCAAAATTAGTTGCGTTCATACATCATACATATGTGTGTTTTCTCCAGGCATTCAAGGTAATATATTTCATATTAATACAGATTTTAATTTTGGGATTTTTAGTAAAGTAGATTTTAATTTTAGAAATTTGTAAAAAGCTGGGGACACCACCTGCTTCAGACTAGAATTGACGTTCGATCTATAAAAATGGCTAATGAGGGTTAACCAAGTGATTTTTTAGCATTTAACATGTACATCTTCATAAAACATTTTTACGAGTTAAAAATGCTTCCAATTTGCTAATGAGGGTTGGTTGTGTTGGCGTGAGTTCGGGATTTCTATGTAACCCTAGTCAATTATGTAATTTGCATATATATTGTCACCTTGAGAGAAGAATAACACAACAATTAAAAACCTAATATTCTATTACAATTTTATTTGTTTAAGTTGATAAAGATCGTTTTTCGGTAGACGTCCAAGTTTGAATTCTAAGCTGTCCATACTTTAAAAAGACTACGACCCCACTATAAATCTCAAAAATACTTGTAATATGCCGTGACTCTGTGATGAGGTAGCCTCCCGGCCTCCCCTCCACCATAAGCTTTTGGATAGCAAAGAAATACTTCCAATATTTTATGCTTTTAATCATTCATGAAATAATTTTGAAGACTCTTGATATCAATTTTTTTAATATTCATGCGAATAGAACATGAAATCATCTCCGTCCACAAGAAAATTGAAGTCGCAGAAAAGCAAGCTTCTCGGAAATGATAGAGCAAATGTTTTTCATATTTTCTCTCTCATCTTTGCCCTCGTGTCTTTGAATAACGATACAACGCGTAAACCATAAACACCACAAACTGGGTCAAGCAATCTTAATTACATAATGTTGATTAATGGTTGCACTCAAGCAATTATCACAATTATGACTTTTTGAAAATGTCGTTTGACTAGCCACGAACCCAGATTCTCTCACAAGCAATTCATGACAAACAAATGAATGCGCCATCCTTCTTCGACTTTTCTTCAAACGTCACATAATGGTGTGTCTCTAAAAACAATAACTATTCAATATCTTCAGAGACCAAAAAGTGTGAAAACAAAATTTAAAGACTTTTGAAAGTGCTTATTCGGAAAGAAAATTCCCCACCGGTATATGAAACATGAATGAGATCAAAATCTACAAATCAAATCCCTTACGTTACTTACGTGAGTCCCTTTACTTAAACCAAAATAGAGATGTTAAAATTGTCCGGATCCTTATTATTTTAGATGATGTTAAGCCTGACGAGAGCAATATTCTACAACTAACAATTCATTTATTTTCAATCCTATTCGTAAAACTCGTTGAAAGTGTTTTTGTTACAAGCATGTCGAAATTTTTAATAAAAAGCAAAAGAAATAATTTTCGCGCATGTTTATTTGTCATATGCACATCCTTATTAACCCCTAATTATATTTGAATTTATTAAGTCAAAGACATAAGACTGGCGACATCGGACAGGGAATAGGCAAAAATTGGTTAACCAAAACCGACCGAATACCGAAACTTTTTCAGCTTTCCCGAATTTCCGTTAACCGAAAAAATCGGTTCGATTTTCGATTATTTTTTACCTTTACCGAAATTATTAGTTCGATTTTTTTTGGATTAAGTCCCTAATCCTAATCACACAATTTCATGCGGACAAAATACATGCTATGGTTGGGCTATCGCCATATTGGCGCCCCAGTTCATCCAAAGACATAAAACTGTAGGGAATATTAAATAAGATTTCATTTATCAGCTGTTTTCATTGTCGACTTCCATTGCCATATAGGATTCACAGAATCACAACCTTTCCCCATTTGTAGCCCTCCTTCTTGATAAGACCTAAATCAACCTTTACTCTAACACTCTTTGAGTTCAATCTTTCTTTATACTGCATGATGCTGGCATATACGTAACTCGATTTTATTTATAACTCAGTCTCTGGGAAGGACTCTCGTCTTTCCACATGATTGAGCGAGTGATCTTTATCAATTTCTGAATGTTGTTTGATCTCTTAACTTCAATTTTCTATGCCGTTTTCTTTCAAATCTGTATGGTCTCCGTTCTTTTCCAAATCTTTATGACCACCGTTGTTGTTTTGTGAATCTGTATAGCCTCCTCTGTTCTCTTTCGATTCTATTTGCCCTCCCCATTTCCTTATCCTGTCTTCAGCTATGGATGCCTGCAATATTATTGCAGATTACGTCTCAGATTATGTTTTTATTATTGGACAGACCAGAATATTCGATATCGATCAACCACCACCGCTACCTCTTTGTTCCAGCTGGTTTTACAAATCATCGAAAAAAGGATACCAGTTTGAAGGACTGTCCCCAACAGCATTCCGGTCCAAATACCCTGGAAATGATCAATATATATTTACTTTACCAATTGAAACATAAAAACTAGAATGGAAGCAGCTGTTGGTTAGGTCATTTTGCGAAAACTCACCTTAGAACCCCCGTGAAGCTTGTAACCCATGATTAGGCCCAAGGGAACCCCAAATGCATAGTAGCATACTATGTTCACATAACCCACTACAGCTTGCCATCCTGCTCCAATGGCGACCCCGGAGAGAACTGGTTGAATGCTGTTTATAACAATGCACGTCGCCAGCAATGGGGTGAGATGCTTCACGAGAGCTTTCACCTCCGGATCGCTTGAAAACAAAGACGGATATATGTCCCGGGTGATGATGAGTGCTAGTGAGAGAGCAACGCCGATCAAAAACGAAGTCACCACGGCCACTACTAACGATAACTTTGCCGTTCTTGGGTGAGCTGCGCCTAGTTCATTAGACACTCTCACACTACAAAGTGATAAAGGTTGCATTTCATATTAAGATTTTTTATGTTTCTTCTGAAGTTAGGAAGATCGGTTTGATATGTATTAGTATGGATGTGGGACGGAACGACTGACCTTATAGCTGTGGTCATGCCAAGAGCTGCCATGAGCGTCCATCCGAATATGTTCAAACTGCATAATTAATGAACAGCGCATATACCAAAAACAAACATTTGGCCAAAAAAAAAAAAAAAACCTGAAGAAATATTAAAACAAAAAGGAAATATGTTTATGCACCAAGTACGTTTCACCACATTTCGGTTGAGCCAATGTAACTTTTTAGCGCTCCCGACTCGCTGATTGGGCTAGGGAAAGAGGATTCGGATTCAGAACTTCTTTAGATCTCTCATTTTCTTGGATATGCACTTGCTTAAAGAATTTACATAATGCTTACAATATGCAGGTCCTAATTGGGATTTTTGCTGGTGATTGATCCATCTATTTCTAAGAGTCCCGGTACGGGGTGATTTCAAAATGATGGAATCGAGAGCATGATCTCCGATTCTAATCTGTTGTGATTTCAAAATGATGGAATCGAGAGCATGATCTCCGATTCTAATCTGTTAAATTTCTGAAACAAAATTTCTTTCTAATTGTGAATTAATCAAAATGTTTGGAGTTCTCGGAATTTTTGGAGTTGGTGTTATCTCAAAAGTTTCAAAACATAGTTCAAGATTTCTATATTTTTACCCTATATGCCATGCAAACAAGGCTTGCCAATGTGTCTTAAAACTAACCCGAATGCGTAACAAAATAGCAGAAGAAAAAACCACTCACCATATGGACATGCCATCCACAGAAACCCTTGCATTCTTCAGATACCCAGCAAAAAGAACCAGTGCCATAAAGTACCAACATTCCAAACTGCACAAGATTTAACAAAATAAAATCAAATGAGCTTATTCAATTTGTAAAACCCTTGAATATAAATTATACCACAAATTATTGCTTTTAGGGTTGATTACATATATAATATAGTATCATGAATAAAATTTGTGCAAAAAAGTTTTACATTATTCCTGAAAGAGCATTTAACTTTGAAAATAATATTTTGCATACAAATAATGGAAATAACATTTCTTTACAAAACAAAAAGAGCAATTGGACAAGAATCGATATTCAATGTTTTTGATATATTCCTTTATATATATATATTCTATGTTCAATGTAATACCAAAAAGAGAAAGGTCAATTTGACACTAAACACGTATAGCTTAGCTATAATGCTACGTCAATCATGATCTCAACCTTTGACTAACAACTTTATATGAGATTTGCAAACGTAAGTATAATCAAGTTAGTTAGAGAGAAATGCATATTTTTTGCATTTAAATTCGAATCATTTTTGTAGTAACAAAAATTTATTACGAATTGTCTATTTATTTGCTACAATTAATTTATTAAACAACTTTTGTTTTAATTGATTTTTTGTATAAATAATCTTTACATAATGATTTATAATATGAACAATTTTGATCATAAGCACGAAGTTCTGTGAATCTGCCACTAAATGAATTGAGGAGGAACTCCTCCTCAACCTTGAGGAACCACACCTTTCTCCTTTATTTTTTATGAAAAATTAATATATCTCAGCATTTTGAAATAACTGTCAAAAATAATTTAGAATTGAGTTTAGCTAGTCTACCAGAGCATGATTCCAGAAGCCATAGACAACTTAACAAAATCCCAAAGATTGTGAAAGGCCTTCAACGAGAACCCAACCCAAGCTCGACCACATGTCCCAGAAAATATATAAATCAACTGAGCCAAAACTATGAACCACCAGGACGCGTTGAGCACGACGGCGGCGCCCACCAGTCCCCACCCGAGTTTGAACATCAAAAGCCAGCTGAACAACGTGTGCAAGACCAAAGCCCCTGCGGATATCGCTGCCATGACCATGATCTTGCTCTGCGACTGCAAGAACTTGGCTAGCGGGAAGTTCATGGCGTAGGCGAACAGTTGTGGTATCATCCATATCGCGAACTGTCCCGCCGCCTTCGATATGTCGTCGGTCTGCCCTATCATTTTGAGTAGTTGCTCTGCAAAAAAGTAAAGAAAGGAGAGCAGTACGGCGGTGGCGTTGAGGATCACCCACGACCTCTGCATGTAGATTCCTAACATGTCCAGCTGCCCTGCTCCGAACGCTTGCCCGCACAACGTCTCAAGCGCACTCCCCATGCCATACTTCAATAAAATTTCAATATACAAGTCAATATGTTTTTTAATAAAAAAATAGATGAGATAATTTTACATGACGGTAATCGTAGGGAGACCTTTAAAATCAAATGAATGATTGTTGATGATTATATTATTACTCAACTATTGATTAACGCATTTGTTTTCTATTGATGACACCTAATTTGGTTTAAAATTTTGATCTCCTTAGCAGTATCCTAATGTTATATTGTAAATTTATCATAATTGGTATGTGATTAGTATTTTATAAGTATATATTCAACAAAATAGAAGGAATATGAGAATTGTCATTAGCATTTTAAAAATCTCATTCTACACAATCTACAAGTGTATTTTTTTTAATCATAGAAAGTATGAAGGGCAAAATAAATTTTTTTGAATGCCCAATAAATATAAAATAAATTTTTTTAAGTGTTAATAACAATTCCAAATATATATATATATATATATATATACACACGTTGAATATGATGTAATGGATGCATGGTGAGGGTAAGAACCATAAAACCGAAAGAGAAACCGGCTATGACAGAGTTTTCGACAGATACGGTGGCAAGCTCTAAGGTGCCCACATGGCCGGCAAAGATCTGTGTGATGGCGCCGATGGAATATTGGCTAAGGGAAGTGAAGATGGCTGGGCCAGCGAGGTACCATAGCTTTTTGGTTTCTTTGTAGAACTGGTGGGAGAAGCCGCGGAAGCTGACGATGGGAGGGATGTCGCCGGCATGCACCACCACCAGATCATCCTCTTGGACAATTGCCATCCGGGATGTTGTCGGCAAGCACAGACACCACCACCTGCCTGATATCATATTATAATATATGCTAGCTTTAGCTCTATATATATTGTTGGAATCAAATTCGGCATCCCACATATATATATAATATCTTCGAGTAATGTCGCTTAGTCTTAATCACTGGCGGAGCCAAAGCTAAACCGTAAGTTTTAGGAAATGATTTCGTAGAAGAATAATGCTTGTGGCCCACCATAAGACATAAAAGGTTGGGGTTATGTACTCTTCGTCTTTGGTTTACATCTCTATACAATACAGGCGCTTGTGGGCATTAGGAACATGAACTTAATTACGTGTCTGAAAGAAAAGAAATTCATTGCTTATAACTTTTCTTTCTTGTGTTTAATCCAATATGAAGTTTTTTTTTCGTTTGCATAAGATATGAGTTTGCGAAAGATGTTTACAATAGAATTTTTGGGAAGCAGATTTGTAGCATCACTTTTTTATATAATATCTTTTATGCATATTTTTGTGGGGCTCAGTTAGTACTTTATTTTAAGGATTCAAACCTTCTAACTTTTAGATATTCTCTTAAAGATCGTGTCTATAAAAAAAAAACTCAAATATAAAATCGTATGACCATTGGATTAAGAGCTTATTATTTTTTTGTAAAATCGTATCCGTCCATTTTCTTTACTACAAAATGTCTAAATGGTTTTAGATTTGTCTAATTTTCGGATGGTTTATGAATGATATTTTAAAAGATAGACAACTCGGATCATTAAATATATTACGGAATGAATGAACTTCAAATGTGTGAAAAAAATTGGTGCCATAGATTCGCCTCCAAACTTTGGTTAGTTTCAGATGCAATCTTTATTTTGGTACATCATTAAACATATAATCATTTTCTGTCTTTCAAATTTTAACCATACATTTTAAGGTTAATGATTTGTTTTTTGTTTCTATGTTGGCAATCCCACACATAAATTCATGACTCCTCTCCTTCCTTGAGACTTGGAAGCCTCTCACTCAAATATAGCCCAGATGGTCACAGTACGGTAAAATCAACAACCACAAACAACTAGATTTAGTCAAGTCCGGTAGTGTTTTTAATTGGTTAGGCAATGTTAGAGTTTGACTCTCGTAAATGAGATAACCAAATATGCATTTGTTTGTAATTAAGTTTGGTACTTACCTGTATTTGTGGGTGAGTGTATCCCTGTTATATAGAACGACCAGAAGTAGCTAGTGTTTGGAACAATTTAATTACGACAAGTTCTGGCATAGATCGGCCAATGTAATACAAATGCTAGATGCTGCTGGGGATCATATTCTCTCTATCAGCCCTTATGGTTAGAGGGAATCATATACTCTTTCATTCTATTTGCATTTGTGGAGCATGTAGTGCGCAGAAGATCAGATGCTCTATTGATATTTGAAAATCTGTCAGGGCCAAGTGGTTTTGAAAGTAATCTATTTGTTTGTATGACCCCACTGTTCTAAAAACTCATGCCTATCATCGTCTAAGTTTTGCTTAAGTGCTACACAGCTGATCACCGTCTCGATTAGTTTGTAAGTGTTTGAAATTAAAAAAGTGCGACTGGACCTGCTCAGACATTGCCTAGCCTGCATGGGCACCCACCTAGCCCGCCTTAACCCGCATAGGTTGTGACTATCAGTTAAACAAAAATCTTTAACTTTCATTTTGTATTTTATTTTGTCAATTATAAAATGTAAGACACTTGTTAGATATTTGGATGAGCACTCATTATACGTTTGTTCCTCGTGTTTTCAATATGTTTTATCACTTTATAATCTATATGTCATTTTATTTTGCAATTTATGTATATCATAATACAATTATGTGTTTATTAAATATAAATAGGTACTTATACATATATATAATAATTTTACTTAAATTCATCTAATCCGTTTAAGTCCTACCTAAATGGTAAATCCTAATCCGTCATCCAATTAGCATTTAACGTCTTTAAAACCTTACCAAAATTATAAAAGACCATGCGAAAACGAAAAATATTGTAAAAAAAATCGCTCCCCTTTTCCAAATTTCAGCTCTCGAAGACTATTTGATGATGTATTTTTTGTTGAAATGGTTAAAATTGACGTGTGCCTGCACGAGACTGTCTTGTTTGTTTGTCCACGTTAACTAATTTAGAACCATGTACAACACGGGGCTAGTTCCACAGCTTTCTTTTGATTTGATTGATTTAGCTGCTACATTATGAGTGGCCACTTTCTCCAATGTCCTTGCACCTCCGGATAATTTGTTAGTCTTGTTAGAACAGATGCTACTAGTCAACCGATATACATATCATTGCTATTTGTACTTTTAAAAGCAGCTGACAATCAATGATATCCCAGAATACTTACGTCGTCATGTAAAATGATTTATATGAAACATCTTAGCGTTATTTGTGACTACTGTTTAAAATATCGATATACAAATTTATAAAAATATTGACATATATATCGAAATATCGATATCGGTTGATTTCAATAGAAATGTAAGTAATTTAAAAAAAAAAAAAAAAAAAACTTTAGGATTCTAAAACATTGATTTGGAAAAAAAATATAAGAATTTCTTCTATATTTAATAGATACGTCATAAATATCAATGATATTTGTCGATTTTAGCCTAAACTTAAGAGTTTATGCGATATAAGATGAAGTTTAGACTTTACCCTCCATTTTCATATATTTCTTTGATTTTTTTATATTTTCATGAAAATATCGTATTAAAAAAAATTTTAAACACTGCTTATGATATTGTAATTCAATGGTATAATATTATATAGCGATGGGATCAAAATACGAGAAGTCGGGTGATTTTTGTATGTACTAACACAATCACAAAATTATGTCATCCGTACTTAAAGGTTTATTCATCTTGTAAATGTAAGGTGTGTCTTAAATTCTAAATGTACAATAATTGTCACGTCCATAATTTTTCATGTCACCTGGGGCGAATCCAAATCAATTCTGAACAAGCACGTTACAAGTACGCTGTCATTTGCCTCTTTTTTTTTTTTTTTTTTTTTGAGTTTGTGTAATCGGGGTTCAGCTGGAACCTCAGTTGAGCATTCATGGCACACTAGTGAACATAAAAATAGGCCCAGCCCAGATACATCATACAGAAAAGGCTGAAAGCCCATTTCACTAATCAGCTTAATTAACAAAATAATTCATACCTTTAGTTTGCTTTTCTTCCACTGTACGTTATCCTTGTGTTAGATTTTTCGTCAAGTAATTATGGCAGAATATACTTGATTATTTTTTGGAACTGCACCATTGGATTGTCTCACATCAGCATGTCATGTTGGTTCGTTTTCTCTTTTTATTTCTGGTTGGCAGTGGAATTTCCGAGTTGGTTTTACCTCCAAGTAAGGCTTGGTTATCTATTCCGTCGCATATATTGACGGTAAGTCGAGGCCGGAGGTTGCGATCGTTTAGGCTATATCAAGTACTTTGATGCGAACTTTACAAATTTCACCGCAGGTGTTGAAACAATTGAAAATTGTGTTTGCTTGCATGAGGAGGATCACGGAATCTTATGGAAGCATCAGGATTGGATAACAGGTTTAGCAGAAGTTAGACGATCTGTGTGCTTCTTCTCCAGTTGACCTACCTGTAAGAATCCTATGTGGACTCAACTAGTTAGGATAAAGGAGAAGTAATAGGTTGGTAATACAAATCAAATAGAGTTTGAATACGTGTAAAGCTACATCCTATAATTGCGGAATGCACTTCCAACGTGCGTTTGAAAATAAGCACTAATCACAATTGCTCCATACACGGTTGGGATTGGGTGCAACGGGTGAATAACCAACCCTCCATGATAGATGGAAGTTGGTTAAAATTGCATCTATTCCCTGCTCATAGAGAAAGTGTTCTACGTTCAAGGGGTCTTATCACCATTAGAATATAAAGGTCTCTAAGTGAGTAGAAGAGTTCTTTGACAACCAAGATGGCTTCGACAGTTATGCTGCACTCTCGTGAAACTACTGCTATGGTACTACTATGGCTGCTTCGACAGGTTTGTCTTCGACCCTTATGTCTGATTATGGTCTAGGGTTAATGTTAGAATAAGATTTGTTCCAACACTACCCTGCTCCCTTTCTTTTGGGTATGATTTTGTTGCTCGAGATGAGCAAATAAAGTGACGGTGATGCTTATCGACTTTCTCGTTCTGTAGGATGGGCATATTGAAGCTGAGGTGAAACTTACAGGAATACTAAGCGTAGGTGCACTGCAACCAGGAGAAACCCGAAAGTATGGTACAACTATTGCACCCGGACTTATATGCACCCGTGCATCAGCACTTTCGTTGTTTATATCGATAGCTATTGCAAGCGATTCGAGGGACCAAATAGCCTTGCCTTGCTGTGATTCGAATTCCAGTGTTTGTTCGCTTAAGACTTCTATGATCCGATTGATGTCCAAATGTTACAGGTATGTATTTGGAGTGACACGCATTCCTCGACCGGGAGACTGGTTTTACACTCATGGTACGCAATTTATTGTTTTTGTTCAACTTCTTCGTAATTGTTGACTTGTCTTTATATTTTGTTACATATACCTCTTTCCTAGGACAGTTTTATTCAACATATGATGCTGTCGACTAGGGCTGGAATTTTATGAACCGCATACCAAAACCGAATTAACCGAAACCGAAATTACTGGAACCCACAATTATTGAACTTTTCAGTTCGGTTTTACCAAACCGAACCAAAATTTATTATTATTAAAAATATATAATATATTAGTGTATTTTATTGAGACGTTTGGTTGATAAAGACAAATTTGTTTAGTCATTCTCTCTCTTTCCTCTTGACTCATTCTCTATATCTCCCCCTCGACTCATTCCCTCTCCCTCTCGACTCATTAACCAGTTGCTTTTTGTTTCAACTTTCAACTTGAACTCAACTTATTGTGCCATTTAAATTTTGAAGTTACATAAAATTTCATACTCAAATCCAAATTCAAAACTCACATAAACATTACACCAAATGGTCACTTAAATATGGGCTAAAATTGGGAGAGCCCAAAAAATTTGGACTAACAAACAAAATCCAATCCAAAATTTCGGTTTATTTTGGGTTTGATTTTTTAATTAACTGAAATTTCGATTCGGTTTTTTGTTTGGCATTTTTAGTTTGGTTACCAAACCGAAACCAGCCCTACTATCGATAGTGTAAAACTTGAAATCAGTACTTATTGGGATCATAGGCATATATATTTGCATGAATTTGCACCTCTGATACTTTTGAGCTGCTACCTCCAAAATGTACACATGGATTTGATAAAAGGTTCACAATTCTGATTGACCTTATTATTTGTAATGCCGCCGCGCGGTGGATGTCCCTCCGAACACATGCGATTTGGACCTCAAGGACAATGGGATGGCCGCAAAACCTATTCAGAACGGGTTACTCGCTAAGCTCTGAAAGAACGACGTACCTACGAATCAAGGGAAGAGATTCTACGTACCCATCCGTATTCAAATAATGGCTATTTAAGCTGTTCATATATTTGCCATTTAGTACTACAGTTTATTGATATTCTTTTTTACTTGTAAGTGAGAGATCTTAACCACATTATTATGTCTAACGTAGTGTTAAACTTAGCTCATTCCCCCACCTTTTAGTGTAGATAATATTATTTGTTAAAAAAAACAAATCCATATACTATTTTAATATAATGTGGCGTGGTTATGAGCACCTAATTATTTTTAAGGTAGACGATGATCTGCTAATCATAAACGTCTTTGTTGCCTTCTTTTTTTTAACAAACAATATTATCTATACAAAAAGAGAGGGATGGGCTAAACCTAACAAGATGCTAGCAATAATATGGTTCAACTTCGTTTTTATCGCCCCTTAAATACATAATGTGGTGCTCAAAATACGGGGTTGGCTTTCAGAAAAAATCTAATCAAATACTAGAACACAAAACAATATTTATTATATATTTCATCAAATCAAATAAAACATTATTAAATGAATTTGATTGCATAAAGTTTTCCTTTCAATTAAAGAAGTTTTAACGAAATATTTCCAGTACTATTCACTTTTAACGAAAAATTATATTTTTACACTTTTATAATATTATTCACCACATCTTTATTGATTAAAATTAAAAAAAATTTAAACTTTTCGTTAATTTTTCTTTTAATTAACTCATCGCCATGTATATTTTTTTATTGATATATTGGCAACTTTAGCATTTTAAGTAGTTGACTCACTTCAAAGAATGAATTCAACGTGAGGAGAAATGGAAGAGTCTCGAAATGGAAATTGAAGTCAACAGTTGAAAAAATCCCCTAAGCCACGCTCCAAACTCCGCGTTTACTAAACACTCCCCACTCCAACTGGACCCCACACGCTTCATTGAAAATGTAAATTAAAACATAAAAATTAAAAAGTACAAAGCAATGTAAACAACGGTTACAGAAAAGACTAACTGACTCGGCTCACCCCGAATTTCCAATCCACGCGCCTTTCCGGGGAGTGGATTTACACTCCCACCAAAAAAAAACCAAAAAAAAAGAGAATTTCATCGGTACAGAGCAGTCATCAAACCCGCACGCAAACATGCCGAGGAGAATAAAACGGACAAAAAATCCTTACCCTTTTACTTCCCACGCATTTTTAACTCGTCCGCTGACTCGTCGTCGACTCAGTTGACTCGGCCTCAGAAAAACAAAAACAGTAGAAATCCAAGTGGGCGATGGCTTCGGAGGAGAGGCGAATCGATGACGAATTGTCGTACCCGATTCTGCTGTCGGAGCGGGTTCGGACCGCCGTCGACGAGGCAAAGTCGTTCAAGCTGGAGTGCTCCGAGGTCGGGAAGCAGGTGGATCGCCTCTCGCAAAATCTCCGAACCGTGGTCCGGTTCGCGACGTCGGCGCCGGTTCTGTACGAGCGTCCGATTCGGTGCATCGTCGCCGAGGTGTCGAAGAATTTGGAGCGGGCCCTAACCCTGGTGCGCAAGTGCAAGCGCCGGAGCGTCCTACGACGTGTCGTTACGATCACGAGGGCCACCGACTTCCGGAAGCTCTTCAACTTCCTCGAGTCCTCCGTCGGCGACATGAAGTGGCTGCTGAGCATACTCGACCCAGACACCGCGGGCAACAACGGAATTGAACTCTCCCTGGCCCCGATTGCCAGCAACGACCCGATTCTCTCGTGGGTCTGGTCATTCATCGCCACCGTCCAAATGGGTCAGCTGCCGTTTCGTATCGAGGCCGCCAACGAGCTCGCCTCGCTGGCGGACGACAACGACAGGAACAAGAAGATTATCGTTGACGAAGGCGGAGTCTCGCCGCTGCTGAAACTGTTGAAAGAGGGCTCGTCGCCGGATGCCCAAATTGCGGCGGCTACGGCGCTGTATAATCTGGCGTGTGATCAGGAGAAGGTGAGGACTATTGTGAATGAGGTTGGGGTGCCCATTATTGTGCAAGTTCTGGGCGACTCGCCGATGAGGGTTCAGAGGCGGGTGGCGACCCTGGTGGCGCGAATGGCGGAGCATGACAGCATTGCCCAGGAGGATTTTGCCAGAGAGAATGTGATCAGGCCGCTGGTGACGCTGCTGTCGTTCGAGACGTTCGGGGAGGATCAGAATAATCATCAATTGGGTAAGCAAAGCATTCACTCTCTGATTCAGATTAGTAAGGAAATGGAGAAGAGCACATTAGCAAAACCGAAACCGAGTAGCAGTAGCAGTAGTCGTGACTGTAATTATTCAAATACGTATTCAAGTTCTTCGTATTCTTATTATTCGGAGGGTAGTAGTCGAGGCGGGCATTATAGGAAGGAGAGGGAGAATGAGAAGCCTCATGTAAAGCTTCAGCTGAAAGTTAGCTGTGCCGCCGCGTTGTGGATGCTTGCTAGAGGCAGTGTTTTGAATAGTAGGAAGATAACCGAGACCAAAGGTCTGCTTTGTTTGGCCAAGTTGGTGGAGAAGGAGCAGGGCGAGTTGCAATACAACTGTTTGATGACTATAATGGAGATATCAGCCGCAGCTGAATCCAATGCTGACCTTAGACGAGCTGCATTCAAGACCAATTCGCCGGCTGCCAAGGCAGTTGTGGATCAGCTCTTGAGACTGATCAAAGAGGTGGATAGCCCAACATTGCAAATACCTGCCATTAAATCGATTGGTTCGTTGGCCAGGACATTCCCTGCTCGAGAGACCTGGGTCATTGGTCTGCTAGTGACTCAACTTAGTCACAAAGATCTAGACATGGCTACGGAAGCAGCAATTTCACTCGGGAAGTTTGCTTGTCCTGATAATTTTCTCTGTATGGAGCATTCGAAGACAATAATTGAGTTCAATGCTATTCTGCCTCTGATGAAACTGCTAAGAGGCAACGAGCACTCGCAGCTACACGGGTTGGTTCTCCTTTGCTACCTTGCATTACACTCTGGCAATACCAACTCTTTGGAACCGACTAGGGTGTTGACTGCCCTTGAAGGGGCCGACCGCAGTGCACTGCCCCAACATCCCGAGTTGAGAGAGTTGGTGTCCAAGGCGATATATCACCTCAATCTGTACCACACTGGAGGTCACTCGCAAATGTTGACATTTGTGCCGTGAGTACAAATTCTCGAAGGTAGAAGACCGATACCTTTTTTGCTTGATATGATCGTGCTGTGCAGTAGTAGTAGGATCATCAGTTTGATACTTTTCGAATGGAAGGAACACAGGGCTCACAGAAAGATCGTTGAATTTTAAGATAAAAAGTGCAAATAGTAAATGCAGGGATGCAATGCAATAGTTTGATAGTGTAAATTGGTTCAAATTACTTATTAGCTTTTTAACATTATAGTGGATGTGGATGACTTGTTAATATGAAAAAGGGTTTAGGGTTTAGGGTCCTCTCTATTTTATCTCTCAGAGTTTCGACGTGCTTGAAACTATGGATGGTGTTCTTGATACACCGAAATCTGGCCGTTCAAAATTAGTGAATCGGCAAATTGGGCATTGGAACTCCGTGATCATGTTGATCACACAGAGTGTTCGAGTTATTCTAGCCAGACAGTCATGCCAAAATTCCTCTTGTGAACAAGTCAATTGTTCAATGTGTAGGGTTCGAATCCGGATATTCTTGGTTATGAAGAACAATGGCCCACAGTTGCTTGGGTCTGTTATGCATAATCATCGGCCTCATGGTCTGTCGTCCCCGTAACAAACTGGCATGATAAGCAAAGAGCAATTTGAACCATACAACATGAGCATTCTTTTGCCCCTCACAAAAAAAATAGCCAAATTTTGAGGTCAACTCTAATTTACTTGCAACTTTCTTATACAAACAAAAATACCAAATAATGGTTTACATTTTCAGTAGGAATTCGACTTAACCCAAACTATTTTGGGGCATCTACGGATTGGTCCAGGATTAATCATTTTTTTTTATTTTACTAAAAAAATGGAAATTGACTATGGGCCAATCCTTAGTGCACTCTGACGATTGGTGGGTTGGTGACTATTTGAGGTTGGGCTTGAGTTCAAGCAGGCCCACAGTGTTTGAAATGCACAGCTTGGAATAAGCCCACTTAGCCACTATCCTAATCCTACTTTTCCAATTAGGGTTTTATTTTTGTTTTGGAACAATTTTCTTTTGGCAATTAGCATGAATGATCATTTCTACAATTCATTTCTTGACATTTGATTGTAGAAATGATCATTATTTAATAACGATCACGCAATGATGACACAACGACATATGATTATTTCTGCAAAAGTGATAATTCTTACTATTGCCATTTTCTTTTTATAGCATTAGAGGAAGAAATTGAACTTGAGACTTCTTTCATCATAGTGAGGAACACTAGATTAAAACTTAGTTGATTGAACAAATTCAAAAGATTGAAGACTTGTGTTTTATTTTCCTACTCATCACGGTTTAGTCTCTCCAATAATTTGTAAGTTCAACAACATACTTAGTGTTCGTTCGGAATGACCGATGCAAGATATTCTCGTTTGAATAAGCCACTTTTTCTTTACAATGATATTAGGGCAAAATTTAGGCTACACTACAAAAATGGTTGTCATAATTAGATATTGAACTCATTATTCATGATAATTAAATTTAAAACCTCGCATTTGAAAATAAAGAAAAATATTACTAAATTGTAACGCCGTGGCTAAAAATCTACAATTAGACACTTTCTAATTTAATTTCCTTTGGTGGAAGGATGGGGTATTGTTACTACTTAATGGTGGTTCAAACTTGGTAGAGCTCCTACAACATAGTAACAAGTATTGACTCATAATATTCAAAGTCGGACCAAAGACTTGTATTGACATGGGGAGACAGTCAAACTTGGCGGTGGAAGCACTGCCACGAGCATTCCATATTTTGTATGGTGGTGCATGGTGGTGGCTCCCAAAACCCCACTACCAAGGTGGTTGCATAGATTTTTGAAGCATGAACCCTCCCACTGTCAGCAAAATGGCCCCCCACATGCCGCCCAATCGCTGATCAGTTTCTTTCTAATTTTCTATATATGTAAATGTTAAAATGTGGCATGTTAATCACACTTCAGTTCATCACAAAACTAGTTGTAAAGTTCGAGGAAAAGGATTGCTTGCAGTACACATGGTAACATGTTGCCCCCACAAGAAAATAAAACAAGATTTCGAGCTTTCCAGTTCAATGTTTATAGAGGGGAGGACACCTGGATATATATATATATATATATATATATATATATATAGATCCTTTATGTAAAGAGATTCTCATTTTTTTCAAAAAATAGGGATTAAATGGAAAGCTTATTCTACATCGAACTTCAACGATCCAAGTATCTATGTTGTAAGTCTTGATTCATAGATCATCATTACAAAAATTCAATTCAATCCGAAATCATTTGCCTATTTAATGATCAAGATAAAATTTCATTGTTTCTTATATAACAAAGTATTTGTTAATTTTTTTGAACCCCATTAGATATCTTAAATATTTTCGATTTGGCTACAAATTGTTGTAAAATAGATAATATATGTGTAGCATCATATACAGTAAATAAGACATAATATTTATAAGATTTAACAAGTATATTTACGTCGTCAGGATTGTGGCAATAATTTATTTCATTATCTGAAATAATAAGAGAATAAAATAACACCCTTTTATTGTATACAATCTCACTAAAGTAGCTCACTATTTTATGTCCTCGACTGGCCCTCTTAGTCTTACATATAGATGCATGAGAATTGGTGTCTGTCTTCCTACAAACCAATCCTTTTATATAAGAATATTACAAGATATAGCATTCAATGGTGTGGCGCAAAAGTCTTAAATGGATGAAAATGCAACTTGTTTTTTCTTCTCCTTTCAATATGTGGGCATCCACATGTATATTACAACACAAACGTATCTTTAATATGGTGGTGCTTTAGTTAGGAGACATATTTTTATAATCAACAATTTATCACGTCTTTATCGTTTATTAGATGAATAAATGTATTTTTTGAACACGTGTCAAATTTTTATTAAACGATGACCCTATTAAAACTGAATCTTGATTATACAAGAGAATCTTTCTTTAGTTACAATACTCACTCATTCACTAAAAGAGAAAATTTCATTGAAAATCATGACTAGACTGGAGTGACTAGACTAAAATTTTGTAATATGTGAAATCGTGATTAGTGGAGTGTATTACCAATTATTAATCACTATGTGGGTTAAGCTAAGCATAATGTAGTAATCCAAACCCGTATTTGGTGGTGGTATGACAGATTCTAGCATAACTACGGATTAAAAACTCTTTGTTCCCTTGTCGTTTTTCAATCATAGAACTAAACACAAATTTAAGCAAGGGTTTATTTGCAAATTTGCAATTTCTTATGCTTTTTTTTTTTTTTTGGTTACTTGGATTTGTATACGTAGTCTTGATCGCCTCCACGTGAACTCCAATAATGTGGTTTAGCAAAATAATATGGAATCTAATTATCCAATAAGATTAAGAAACGAGCCTTAGCAAAGTAGCAATAGCATGCCTAGATACCTGCAAATATTACCATTTGCTATCCGGGCCAGACGTTGCAACCTTATTGTACGAGAGACTGCTTGATCCCAATAACCTTTGTTTAATACACCACAAGAAATCTAGGTCAAGTGAACCAAACCGAACCGAACTAACATATTCACTTATTCTTTTATAGGATATTCTCGATATATCATGCATTGATTTTTTATGGTATTCCGAAGTATAAGATATTTTAAGTTTTTTAACGGTTAGGTCTATATTCAAAAATATAATAGTCAAAATGTAAAAGTTTAAAAGGCCGACCTATACTTTCAAGTATTATAGAATTTTTGGATATACATATATTAGATTCTCTACACAAGACGTATTGAAGATGTGAATGATTTATATGAAATGAATTCACAAGTACTATAATGTTTTGATCCAATAACGCAATGTTGAGTGAAGAAAAAAGTTAAACCTGACATTGTATCATTAGACTGAGAAGTTATAGTCGCAGTGAAGTCGTTTCATGTAAGTCTTTTCTTTAAAAACTAGATGTGTTGAGAAAAACTTATTGTGCCCAATTTTTGTTAACATTGATTGAGTTGATAATGGTCCTTTAGAGCTTCGCTCTTAAGTACTTGTGTAAAACCTAAAATTGAGGAAATTAACAAGTATGAGACGACAACCTAAAAAAAAAAAAAAAAAAAAAATTGAACTCAAAGTGAGTTTTTTTTCAACATGTCATATTTTTAAGAGCGAATTAAACCGAGCCAGATTGTATATAATATATAAACTCTGCCATGAGCGAAAACTAATGAAAATGACTTAAAAACTTTGAGTTTTAACGATAAAGATAAAATAAAGGGTAAAGTGAATAGTACAATGATTGACCTTTTAGTATAAAAATGTGATTTTTCGTTAAAATGAACAGTATCGGAAACTTTTCATTAAAGTTCTCTATACACACAATTGGGGCTTCGCGTTTTCCATGAACATTCCATATTCTATTTCAAAACGGAAACTTTAATCATATTAAACTACAAACTGAATAGATAAGTGGGATCCTCAATTATTGGTACTCCAAAACTTAAGTTTGAAAGAAAGTGCAAAATAAGGGCCATTCAAACTCACATAGGATTCCAAATCCTCCACTCCCACCCCACATGGGATTTGTCCTTTTTCATCTGGGCATGACTTGAGCTATGAGTCCGAGGTGGGTGGGGGGTCACCACTCATGGCGTGTGGGACACTATGACCAGACTCTCAAGTCTTTAACATATATGATGATGGCATCATGGCAGAGATGAAAGACTTTCTCAGCCGCCTGGGGCCATGGCTCAAGGGGTTCTGTAGGGCTTCCTTCTGTCGGTCAGTCTAGTTGAACAGGAAAGGGGCTTGCTAAGATGATGGTGATACAAATCAATTATATAACTTTATGTAAAATAGCGACGCAAAGCGTGAGAGAGGTCGAGATTATGGTGTCTCAAATTAAGTGATGAAATGTGAACAAGTAAAGACACATAGCGAACTTGTGGTAGGTTTAAAATACCGTCATTTTAACGTTTACATTTCATGCAAGTCTTAGTAAAAACAGTCGCACTTCGTGTAATCCATTGAAAGGGATTTCTTGCCCAGTAGATTCGGCGTTTGGCGACTTTTTTGGATGCTTACCAAGATTCGACTTGGAATTTGTCACTCTCCAGTCCCACGCATGATCATGAACACAGAATTATTAAAGAAAAAGAGATCAAAATAGGACAAGGACTAGGAAAAACGTAATCGTGATATGAGATAGGTCAGCTAATCAATCATTGCGTCTTTCTTTTTGCACCAAAGTTTGATCTGAGTAAAAAGCCCAAAAATAGAAGAGGAGCAAAAGCAAGATATTTC